CTGATATTCACACTGTACAGTAATCTGAGCATTCCCATTTTAACATCCACTGGTGAAGTACAATTAGACTTGTAAGGACACCTGATATAGTAAAATTTTCGGAGTTCTGGTCCACCTTGTCGGATACTGCGATTAGAATAGTTGCCTCGAGACAATATTGTTTATTCAAGAACGAAGGAACAATGCAGCAGGCCTACTGGCTCGGGATAAGCAAGTCTAACTCACATCCACTATGTACCCATCTAATATATATTTACAATGACCCGTAGTTTTTGCTTCTATGAAATACCAGGAGTTTGTTCCAGCCATCTACATTTTTTTTGCCAAACCATTACTTTCCTATATCCTTTCTAAATATAAAACTCTCCAATTTGAGTCCATTGCTGCGAATCCCGTCACGGTTAGATATTTTCAACGCGCTATTTATATCCCTTATTTGAGCCTGAATGCCTTCCTTCCCCCCACCCCACAGGTGCTCCCCCATGATAATAATACTAAGCATAAGAGGCATAAAATACCAACACGCTGCAAAACAATGACACGAAGGCGAGGTGGGCACTTTATTAAGACAACGTTTTACTGGGTGGCAAAGTTTATCTTGTTTATGGGAAATACATCTGAAACGTGGGAATATACAGACGGAGTAAGGACCGTAGGAGAGGTGTGGGTGACTGAGCATATGAAGATCAAGTCGGGAAGTTTGCAAGGGAAGAGAGATTTGGCAAGTTGAAAATTACCTTTATTACTCTATCTGGTGATTAAATTTGATGATAATGGCGCCTGGTCCGACTATGTCCTTCTAGTGGCTGTCGGAACATCAGTGAGTTTCAGGTATCTATGTATTCTTTATAGACCTGAAAAAGATTGGCAGCGTGGCCGCTTGATATAGTGGCCATGTTGCCTCTGTATGGTTTTCGCAGTAGGTGAAATTCTTGAGTGCATCAGTAGATCGAGCTTTCTCGCTCTTCTCCGTCCCAACTCCGCTGTTTAGATTTTCCATTTTTCTATCTTGGGCTGGACCTACATTTTAGGGTACACTGGGTACCTCTCCACTGTCAGTGTTCATCAGAGGTTTATGCTCAACCGTGTACTCTCAACATTATGCTCTACCAGCCGTTGGAAGGACACTGACCAGAGATCAGCTTCATTCTACACTACGAAAACATCCACACAGTTTTGTGTGAAGTTAAAGCGGTCCAGACCTCTAGCGAGCCTTTTACTCTCAGGGACACTTTCTACACAACTAAAAAGTATTTCCAATACTGCCTGCGTATTGAGGATTTACCCTTAACTCACACCTTTGTGGTTCACCAGCCATTGGAATTTTCATGTGGCCAAAACCCTTTTCCTTAACAAACTCTTTGACCTTATCTTTACAGGTGTTTATATGCTTAGATCACTCTCACCTCCTTTGGTCCTAACACACACGCATATCTATCAATCTATCTATATATTATATATATATATATATATATATATATATATATATATATATATATATATATATATATATATATATATATGAGGAGTTGTGTAGGTGGGAAGTAGCGTGTGTAGGGAAGGTAGGTAGGGATGTTGGCACATTGGGTAGTGAATGTGTTGGGTGTGTAGGTGAGGGTGCTGGCACTGTGCTAGGGGCACTCATAGGGGAGAGCCTGCTTTGCCTTCACCAAGTTGAAGATTTCGTTAATAGTTGTCGTAGATGAGCATTGATTCATGCCCACTTACTTGTTCCTCATTTATCAGTTCCCATCCATTTGTTCTCATCTGTTGATTCCTATAATTAATTCCCACTTAATTGATCCCATCTGTTAATTCATACTTAATTGACCCTATCTGTTAATTTCCACTTAATTGAACCCATCTATTAATTCCCACTTAATTGATCCCATCTGTTAATTCCCAGTTGTGTTTCTATGTTAATTCCTACATGATTGTCCTATCTGTTAATTCCCACCTGATTGTTCCCATCTGATTGTTCCCACCGATTTATGTTGACGGAGGGTTGAGCCTTTGAGACTTCAACGCCAAACTTTTGTTGACTGGTTCTGACGAGCACAGGTAGAAGTTAGAAGTCCTGTAGCACCCGGCCGTAAGATTAAATCACCAGTAAAGAAACTATTAGAAAGCAGGAAAGGAAAGAGCAAGTGAGAGACTGACTCGAGACCAAGAGTGTAGGTATTTTACGCAATTTAGTCTGGAGTCAACCCTTCACCTTGATTGATTGACGCTTAAAACTGGCAGCCATTTACAATACAGTTGGGGGCCCCTACAACTGCACAACCATAACTATCGGCTAGGGTGATCAGAGGAAATACAAGAAATATCTGTGTGATGCACACCGAATAAAATGTAATGTAGGCAGCGCACGCCACACTGGTGTATATGATTTTTTAAACTCTCCAGGTCTGTTATTTCTGCTCCTAAACCCGTGTATGGAGTGTGCCTGCACTACCTTGAACTACTGTATGAATTACGTCTCCATTACCTCTTGTAAACCCATGTATGAAGTACGTCTCTACTACCTCTTTTAAACCCATGTATGAAGTACGTCTCTGTTACCTCTTCTTGTTGACCCACGTATGAAGAGTCCACGTCCACAATCTCTTGTAAACCATGTAAGAGGTCCACGTCCATTGCCTCTTGTAAACCTATGTATAAAGTACGTCTCCACTACCTTGAACCAGTGCAATGTGCTGGAAGAACAGAGTTAATGTCTGCCGTCAAGTCCCCACGACTTCACATGCTGACTGAGCCACGCGGGTTTAGCACTGCACATAGCTATTAATAATAATAATAATAATAATAATAATAATAATAATAATAATAATAATAATAATAATAATAATAATAATAAAACATCTCTAATTGGTTTTACTACAGTACCTTTACCCCACTAGAAGGTACTTTGATACTGGTAATGCACTCTAGACCCAAGAAACTGACTTTATCTTCCCCTTCCTTGAATCAAACCTGATTATCTTTAGTTACAATACAGTACGGCGTTGGAATGCGTCTCCCTTCAGTGTGTGACGGTCGTTATTTGTTCGTAGCCTCATTAGGTTCATCTTATTTGCAAACACTGACGTTTAGAAGTCTCTCCTCCTTCAGGAGAGGCGCCTTAACGCCAGTGAAGGGCTCTTGTTCCTAGGAATTGGTACTACCCTCCACTTTGGATCAAACCTGATTGCCTGTCATATCCTATGCTGTATGACCCTGACGGGTTGAGCGCGTCTCCAAATTAATAGTAGTAACAATAATAATTACAATATTAACAATAATAATAATAAATGCGTTATTATACTTCACCCTGTGACTAAAGTTGGCGACATCTCACAAAAAATATGCTTGATTTACTGCAGTTAGAAAATGGAAGTCTATAAAGGACATTGTATTTGTTCAAGTAGTGATGTGTACTCTCAAAGAGCTAAGGACGGAGTTGATATCACCAATGACTTGTCAGCTATTTATGGGATACAATGTACTGATTTTATTCACTCATATTAAGTGTCGCTACCTAATAAACTCGCCCCTTGGGACATAATCCTAACGATTTTTCCCTTGCTCTTCATGTCTGCATTTTATTTATCAAGTACTCCCGTACACAATTTTCGAGTTTTGGATTTTGTGAATTAATCTTCTGTGGGTTAATGTCTTAGACATTCTGGAAATTTAAGAATATACAGTGCACCTACTCGATCCTATCTGACCTGATTTTCATCAGCTTTTCATAAAATTTTATTGTGTTTGTAAAGCAGGATTTACCATCCCTAAATGTGTGCCTGTGCTTCATGAAACGGCAAATTTTCTCTTGACATTCTAATCTCTTTCTTAGTATTTTCTCCATCACGTTTCATGGAATGCATGTTATCGACACTAGTAGAGCTGTGGTTTACGGCCTCCTCTGTCACCTTTTTGAATATTGGTGCTACAGTAACCATCTTGCAGCTGTCTAGTTCACTTATGTCCGGTGTCTTACATATTTGTGAAAGTGGCCTGTTTAGGGCTTCAGTTCCTTTCTTCAGTATTTGTGAAATCCTACTTGGTCTCATGGCTTTCAATGTATAAAATTCTTCCACGTTAACCATTACTGCTTCCCTTGTTATTTAAACGTTTTCCAGCACTACCTGGCATTATTGTTAACTTTGCCAGTCCTAGTCATCCCTGCTTTTGTAAGATTCTAGGAATCTGTTGAAATTTTCACACACTTATAATCTCTTATTCAGTATCATTATGTCATTTGAAGATTTAAAATTTTCTGAATTCATACTTTCCAATAACTGATCCCCAAGTTAGTTACTCTAACCTCAACCTTTTGATGTAGCTGTGGATTATTTTTAGTTGGAACTTTGTTGTAGCTACTACGTTATTTTCCCAATAAAAAAAATATCTTCCGTCTGTTTTTTTTCAGCTCATTCATTCCTGGCTCCGCTCGTCATTATTGTTTACCGGTGTTCTAAACTTTGTGTTATTAATGTTTGGTGCCTTAGTCGTTAGTTTATTGTACTGTGAACTTTTTCTAGGTTGTCTTCAATTGAGTATAGCCTTAAATTATGTAAATTATATATATATATATATATATATATATATATATATATATATATATATATATATATATATATATATATATATATATATATATATATATTAGGAGCTTTCCTCCCGCTTTGAAGAGGAGCAGAGCTACTATGCTCGTGATGTTGCGCTTTCAGTTTGTCATAATTTTGTACGTTTCCTATAGTTGTATGTTATCCACGAGGTGTACATCAAGGAGTATTGCTGGAACCACATTTAACTACTATATGGATATGTTTTCCAGAGTTTTTATTTTTGCATCATATATTTTGTGGCCAGCGTCCTTTATTCAGTTACCAAGGCAGCCAGTAAAGATTAATTTAGTAAAGGCGATATTTATATTCAATAAATCCTTGGGTATTGCTCACACTTTAAAACAGGACATTAAAATAAGAATATGGATATTTGGATAAAGAAATTCAATATTCCCAGCCATGTATTTATTCATACAATATATTCTGATACAGATCCATACATACATTCTGCGACATTTGCAGTACACAAGGAGTTAAGGTAGTGTTTTGAGTGTAAACTAAGCTAAAGAAACCCACACATTAAAATTTCTTTCCCTGTTAACCAGCAATGGTGAATGATCAGCAGTGGTAGGTAAACATTACGGAAAGGTCTAGTGGGAAGAGGGTCTAATGTTATGCTCGTCACCCCCGCGGCCTATCACTAGGCTCTAGTATAACCCTCGAAATGTATATGGACGTATTCCTCGGCCGCATCAAACTCGCCTAAGTATAAAAATAAATATTCAACACAGATGACTTGAGGAGTTTAAGGTTGAAGGCTGGAAAACCCTCCTAGCTTGAGCGAACGGGTGAAGGGAGTAACATATGACAATCATTACCCGGGCTGTTCGTATCTGTATGTGTCTGACTATTGCTTCCACTCGGCAGGATGGATGTTCGAGTTTAAGGTAATAATATATGACAAATTACTCCCGGTCAACCGCCCCCTCATTTCCTTGTGATACTACAATAACTCCGCACTAAGATTATTAGCCTCATACAATACACAACAGAAAGAAAGAAAAAATAGAGAATTAGTCGATCAAAAGACGAAAAACAATAATGAAGATGGAAGTATCGAGGGATACTGTGGTAAAAATGGTGTTGTCATGGCGCTATCTTCACAGCGATGCTATAATGGTGCTATCTTCAGAGATGCTATAATGGCGCTATCTTCACCAGGAATACAGCGCCGGGCCACGGGGAGTCATTGCTAGGTTGGTAATGGTAGGAAGTTGGGTAGTTGGGTCATCCTCTACATAAACATGTTGCGGCACAGAGGCTGAAACATAAAAATCCAAATAATTAAAATTTAATAAAGAGAGAGCATATATATATAGTCACCAAGCAATATGTTTTAAAAATATATTTCATTTATTTAGACTATATATAATTATGTATCATTTAGACTGTATATAATTATGTATCATTGATACATATTCTTGAGAAAATATATGTAAGAATATGTGTTTCATAGGAAAGGGTAAACAAGTGTCTAAGATTTATCTAAGCTACGACCAATACTTACACTATGGCACTAACTTGGTGCTTAGAGCTGCTGAAACAAGAGGTTGACAAGGGATTAGCTGACAGTTGTATGACATGCTTTTCTATAAGAAGGCAACCATTTACTATAAGAACACAACCATAAACGAAATAGTTTCTTCAGTACGAGAGATATAAAAGAACATTTCAGATACTGGTTCAATTTCTTCTACATATAGAATCTGCTAAGACAAAAACTCTGATAGTCTACTTTCAGTTGAATTTGAAGAGTAAGGACAAAATGAAGTTTTGTCAAAACATCAATTAAGTTAGAGAAAAAGCCATGCAACGAGCAAGTTCACTTTGTTACATCAAAAGGAAACATCAAATGAAGAAAAGAAACTTCTCGTTATTTAATACTTCACCAAGACAACTTCAAGAAAAATAAAATATAGTTAATTTGTTTGGCTTAAGGTCAGTCAACTTTATGGGGGTTTAAAGTATTTATTATAATAATATACAGGTGACTAGGATATATACACCTGTCTTGAAAGTATGGGAATAACAAACCTCACACAACCCCAGTCAGTGGTATACAGATGGATATTCAACACTTGGCTAAGCTAACATCCAAAACTTTAACAAGAAATCTGGGGCTTTCAAAAGTCTTGTTCCTGAGAAACCCAAAGTGTTGTATTCCACCAGGACACTTTCTTGCTGGCGATACACATGCGTAGATGTGAGGCCATTTTTTGTTTTATTTTTGAAACAGCCGTCTTGGCAAAATGCTGAGTAATCCGAGGTCTGTCTCTTCATGTTCAGTTTTCCTTTCTAGTATTTCAATGTGCATATTGGAATAGTAGTACAAACAACTGATTAGTGCTGCTACGAGTCGTTAAGTTACCTTGGTATACTACGAGGTGGTTAACGGGGAAATTTTTTGGTTAGAAGTAATTGCGTTTGAGTTCAATGGAAGCATAATTTTGGTTGAAAGATTGCATATTTAGATGCTGTGTATGTTGAATAAGCCTTAATAAAGTCAGTATGTCAAAATAACAACTAATTTAAATACAAGTATTTCCCAAATTATAAATTTTCATTATCCTAAATATACCCAAACCGGGTCTATAACCCTCGGAGAAGCCTACAAGTGAGTATATACTTTGGTAGTGATTTATACAGCGTGACTATTTACTAAGGTAGTGAACTATGCAGCAAATGTATATATAAAGCTGACACTGGTATATGCACCGGGAGGCTTAAGTCTCTCAGCGTACATACACAGTTTGTTTTAATCCCTCTTTTCGGGATTAAAATATTTTTGACTGTTGCAGCCTTGATGAACTTCGTGTAGTCGTTAGGCTTTAAACCCGTTTAACCCACTAAGGTTGAATTTGTTACGCCTATGACTTTTAAAGTTGTGTTTTTGTTTAGCAGTAGGGGAAAAAAATAATGTACTGATGGGATGAATGAAATAAAGATTAATTGTATGTGAGAGTTGATGTTATCGTTTTTGTTATAAATGCTAAAACTTGAGGGGTGACCTTACCTGAGGGGACATTCTGGCCACGGATCCGGCGCGTCCCTTCGCCTTAGCCTTACTGGCAACCTGCTCCGCATTATCAGCGCGCTCCTCAGCTTCCTCCAGCTCCTGCTGGGCCTTACGGAATTTGGCCAAGTTAAGGGCAGCGATCTCTTCAGCCTCCTCGATCTGGCGTTTGTAGGTTTTGATTTTCTGCTGGAGCTTGTCGACCAGGTCCTGCATTCTCTCGTGATTCTTCTTGTCCTCATCAGACTGGAAGGTGAGTTCCTTGATGCGCCTCTCACACTTCCTAAGGTTCTTCTGGGCATCAGCATGGCGGCGAGCCTCGTCATCGAGCTGTGATTCCAGTTCGCGGACTCGGCTCTCCAGTTTGGCAAGAGCCTTCTTGGTAGCCTTCATGGCATTGCCTTCAACTTCTTCAAGGCGGACTTGGAGTTCCTTTACGGAGACCTCCAGAGCCTTCCTCATTTTCTCCTGAGTCTGTGCGTGTTCCTGTTCTGCGCGGAGCTCGTCAGCAAGACGGGCAGCATCAACCATAGCCTTCTTGGCCTTCTCCTCGGAGTTCTTGGCCTCGTTCAGCATTTCATCGAGATCAGCCTATAGAAGGAGGGTGGGTGGGAGTTAAAGAAATCAAATTGGTTTTATAGTCAAAACCAGTTGCAATATATATATATATATATATATATATATATATATATATATATATATATATATATATAATATATATATATATATATATATATATATATATATATATATATATATATAATATAATATATATATATATATATATATATATATATATATATATATATATATATATATATATATATATATATATATATATATATATTATTATTATTTTTATTATCACACTGGCCGATTCCCACCAAGGCAGGGTGGCCCGAAAAAGAAAAACTTTCACCATCATTCACTCCATCACTGTCTTGCCAGAAGGGTGCTTTACACTACAGTATATATATATATATATATATATATATATATATATATATATATATATATATATATATATATATATATATAAATATAAATGTTTGTGTGTGTGTGTGTATTATGCATTTGAGAACAAAATATGTTTTGACATATTAAGATATACTGAAAATTTATTATATTAGTAATGCAAAACATCATCTTACATGCAATGTCTGAAGCTCTCCCTCAAGTTTCCTCTTGGCCATTGTAAGAGATCCGTTCTGTGCTGTGAGGTCATTAAGGTGGTCAGTGGCTTCAGCGAGTTCGGCCTCAGCCTGGCGACGACCGCGATCAGACTGCTCAAGAAGAGTACGAGACTCTTCGAGCTCTCCATGGAGAGCATTTGCCCGGCGCTCTGAGATTCCGTACTGTTCACGGTACTCGGAGGCAAGACGTTGCTCCTCCTCCACACGAGTCTGAAGATCCTTCATGTCACCCTGGAGCTTCTTGATGTGTTTCTGCAAGTCTGCGTTTGCCTTGTTGGAGTGGTCAAGAGCAATTTCGAGCTCGTTGATGTCGGACTCCAATTTCTTTTTCATGCGCAGAGCCTCGGCCTTGCCCTTAGCTTCAGCCTCAAGAGAAGCTTGCATGGAATCGATGGCGCGCTGGTGGCACTTGCTGTAAGTGTAAATATTATATGTAAGCTAAACAGTAAATTTTGGTAACGATATATATATATATATATATAGCGTTAGTTCCTTGATAATGTAAGAAATATGAAGGCGCTTCGAATTCTATTTTTTCACAGTGTTTATTCTGCTATATAATTATAATAATATAATAATTCTATATATTAATATTATTATATATATATATATATAATATATATATATATATATATATAATATAATATATATATATATATATATATATATATATATATATAATATATATATATATATATATATATATATATATATATATATAATATATATATATATATAGTTTATGCAAGCTAAGTTCCACTTTTAGAATAGAAAATATCACTTACCGGGTATTGTCGAACTCTTCTTCCTTCTCCTGGATGCGCCTGTCGATTTCCTGCCTCACCTGGCTGAGTTCGAGTTGAGCACGGAGCACCTTGTTTTCTTCCTGCTCCAGAGCGGCCTCAGCCTCCTCGAGAGCGGCCTGCAGCTCTTCCTTTTCAATTTCAAGGCGTTTGCGGTTCTTTTCAATCTCGTGGAGTGATCGTCCACCTTCACCGATCTGATCCATCAAGTCCTTGATTTCGTCGGCAAGGTTCTTGTTCTCACGACGGACTGAGTCGAGCTGTTCAAGATTTTCCTCGTAGGCAGCCTTTACGCGGAAGAGTTCAGTGGAATAATTACGGCACTCCTTCTGGGAAGCATCGAGCTCAGCAGCAAGGTCATCAACCTTCATCTTCCACTCGGAGATGATCTTATCGAAGTTCTTTTGTTTCTTTTCTGCTGCGTTGGCTAGAGTTTGGGCGCGCTCAACCTCAATCTGCATATCCTCAAGTTCGGTGCAGATACGCTGCTTTGTCTTTTCCAGGTTCATGTTCTTAACATTGAGCTGTTCGATCTGTTGTTCGGCTTCTTCCAGGCGGGCAGCTAGCTTGAGGCGGGCAGCTTCGAGCTCCTCTGCACGGGCAACACCCTCAGACTCGTACTTGGCACGCCACATCTGGGCTTCAGCGTTAGACTTGGACAGTTGGCGCTGGAGGTCAGCCTTGGCTTCTCCCTCCTCGTCAAGCTGTTCGCGCAAGCCATCAATGTCGTGCTCCAAGTTGCGGAACTTTCCAAGAAGAGTAGCGCGTTCCTACGAGAGAATGAAACAGAAGTGTAACTATTTAAACAAAATTGTATTGTATAAATATATTCAGGTAGAATGCATATAACATTGTTGATTAGAAGCCACAATACCGTGGCTGTAACACTTTACAACCTACCCACAAATTATAAGTAAAAACCGGACAACGTTTGATTCGTCTCAGACCATTGTCAATTCACTAGTAAGAAATGGTCATATAGCTTTGCATTTATTGAAATGGATTTATTTAGTGTACTTACTCTGCACTCGTCGTCCGCGAGCTTCCTGTTATCATCGAGCTGATTGGTGAGCGAGAGTTTAAGTTTGGAGAGTTGACTGATCTGGCTTTCTGCTTCCTCCACTTGGCGTAGCAGGTCAGCATTCTCGACGGCGAGCTTCTTCTTCGTGGCATCGAAGTCATTAAGGGTGCGGTTGGCTTCATCAAGCTTTGACTGGATCTCATTGGTCTGATGCTGAAGCTGCTTATTCATCTTCTCAGCAGCGGCCTAATAAGTGCAAGTGTCAGGCTCTGCTCCTCACAACAGTGTTTAGCCCTCATATATTTTACTCTAAATTTGATGTGAAATGCAGTTATACAATGCGAGATAAGATAAAGATATATTCATAGAAAGTATACTTTGACGTTTAATGCAACATTAATGCAAAGATCTTTCTTTTTCCTTTCAGTTTATGCATCTACAGCAGAACTCTTTAAAAGTTATGTGAGAGGGAGATAAATGATGAGACAACTGGAGAAAACTACATAGAACAGCGAGAGAACACTGACGTCCACAGATTAGTGAACAAGGTAAGAAATAGGACACTAATATAAGAATTCGTCTACCTGGCCTCGAAGAGTGCAGCCATTGGAATAAATCAGACATATGTCGATTTGTTTTAGTCATTGAAAGGAGTGAGGACAGATTACAGTAAGACAAGGCAGTTTCTAAATCTTTTATATGTGATCAGACTGACAGATGGAGCCTTATTAAGTAAAATGGTTTCATTATATTTGAATATATATAAAAAAATCACATGAGAAAACTGGTTAAAGGAAAAAGTTTTGTCGAATGCCTTTTGAGTAATTTGTTTAAAGTCCTGAAAAGGTTAGCTTCGATCCAAATTTTCTAAGTGCAAATGATTCTGAATCATGTTAGTAAAAAGTGATCCTTTTAAATTTTACATATAGGGTGGTAGGGAAAGAAAATACTCATACGTGCTCCAGGGCGAATTCTCCATATACACACACATATGTACACACATACACATATAGGGTGGTCCCGCCTTTATAACTGGCTTCGGACACGGGCCTCAGAGTAGAGAATAAACAAACTTTAAGGAGAAATCTGGAGAATTCTCCCTGGAGCACGTTTAAGTATTTTCTTCCCCTTCCACCCCATTTGTAAAATTTGATTAAAACATTTTGATGTTCATAGATATGATAATACCATAAATGACTGCTTACTGCCATAAGTATGATCACATGCATAGTAAGGAAGGTTTAATTAATTTAGTGACTGAAAAGAGATAGCACAAGCGGTGGGGTTACTATGTTTAGTGAGGCGGACGAATCTTATCTATGGGCTGGCTGCTGCTCTCAGTTCAGCATTCTCAGAGAAATCTTGTAATAGCAGAGACAGCTTCTTTTCCTCCCGTTTTTATTAACTCTCCAAACATTACGATTTTTCCAACAATAGAGACATCTAAGGAACAGATATTCACATGTTCTTCATTAACATTATTCAAGACTAAACATATTAAAAACAGATATTTACACAAGTCACCTTACTCTACATAACGGTTTTGTTAACACTAGACGTTTTAAAAACAAATATTAACTTTGATTTGATTATAGTCCTCAGTGTGACAACATTGATCAAGTCTCAACATTATAAATAAAACAAATAATCACATACTGTTGATTAGCTCTATACATGACGGCATTGTTTGACATTCTAGACAATTTTCAACACAAATATTCACATTTCCAAACACTTAGCTGTTTATTCTAGCATTGTTGCTAATAACACACGCCTGAGATCTAACTTCCGTTTACCTTGTCGGCAGCCATGTGATCTGTAGCAAGCTTAAGATCATCAGTCTGATTCTGCAACTGATTCTTTTCCTTTTCAAGCCTGTTAGAATAGTTTGTGTTAGCAGTAGCCAGAGATTACACAGAAACAACAATTTACAAGCGCGGCGGTAATTTCACAATTTTATGGATGTGGAAGCGTCAGCGTGATGGGTATGGTCTTTCATGTTCAGAGGGATGGGCATGGTCTTTCATGTTCAGAGGGATGGGTATGGGTAAGCTTTCTCTCTTCATAAAACAGTTGCTATTATTTTATTATTATTTTATTCTTAAAGAAGAGGTAAACCCGTATGGGGACATAAAGCACCTGGACAATGAGAGGCAGTCATATTTGATTCTAGGAAAGTGAGGGTAGCTCCAGTGTTTTGATCAAGAGCCTCTTACCAGGATCATAATACCCAGCTTGAAGGGCCATAAAACATTGAGAATTGCCGCCATCGCGTGAGTCTGGAGTGGTTCATTAGATGCATTAGTGTGTTTGTGTTTGTGTGTGGAGTGCGTGGTGAGCCCTAAAAATCTTTACCTTCTCGTTACTGAGAATATCTGCTGCAGATCGAGCATCATTGAGTTCCGAGGAGAGTGTTGTCTTTTCACGCTCCGCCCTGTGGTGGTTCAAGAGTAAACACTAGCTATTCTTCAGGAGAGTTACTCCCAGGAATATCTAGATTTTCTTGATGATGGAAGGAATAACTAGATGAAGGGAGAAAAAATCAAAGCAGAGAAGCGTCCTTCAGCTTGCAAGCCAGGGGAGGGGGATGAAGGGTTGGGAAGAGGCCGACTGCCAAGCTCAATGGGCAAGTCAGTTACCCTAAACTAAGGGAAAATCAAGAAAACCAGGTTGAAGGCGTGGGTTTTAGGATTGACCAGTTAATTTTTACCTTATCGCGAGCAAGAGCGTCCATGGCAGACTTAGCATCATCAGCATCACGCTTCAAGGAGTCCTTATCCTTCTCAACCCTATATGGGGGGATGGGTTAAACACCAACACATAAAATAAAAGTGAAAAAGATCAGCAGCGCTCGGTTGTCAGTTAGCAAAACGGAGAAGAAAACAAAATTGTATGCGCTTTGGTTCTACAGCTAGCATGGTTAGGTAACTTAAAATATTGGCTGGACTGTTGAATGGTGAGGAGGCAATCTGATTATAAGTCATATAATATAATGGTTTCTAATAACTAGGATCAAATTCTTATCCACAAGAAATTATGGCAATAATTATGGTTCTCAAATAAACTGTATTGACATCTATGAATAATGCAACTGATTATGTATGTAACAAAAGCGTTAGTTTCTGGAGAACCACTAACCTGGCTTTCATCTTGTTGAGATGGTCAATTTGTTCAGACATTTCCGCGACGGCATCATTATGTTTTTTACGAAGGTTGACGAGGGCACTTTCATGCTGGATGTTAGACTCCTCCAGATCACGGCGGAGTTTGGCCAACTCAGCTTCGCGCTTTTTGTTTAATTCGATCTGAGCAGCTGTGGCACCACCAGCTTCATCAAGGCGCTCTCCCAGCTCTTCGAGCTCACGCCCAAGGTGAGTCTTGGATTTCTCAGCCTTGGCACGGGCCTGGCGTTCATGCTCTAGCTCTTCTTCGAGCTCCTCAATGCGCGCCTGGAGTTCCTTGATCTGCTTCTGAAGCTTGGAAACAAGACCCTGCTCATCTTCAAGCTTAGATGCAAGGGAAGAAACTTCTTTGTCCTTTCGCTGAATGGTTTGCTCGAGTTCCTTCTTGTTGCGCTCTAGATCTGCAACGGCTTCTTGTGTTAGCTTCAAGTCACCCTCAACCTTTCTCTTGGCCTTGTCAACTTCACCTCGCAACTTCTTCTCCCTCTCAAGAGAGTCTTCGAGCTCATCAAGAGTCTGTTCCAGCTTAGCCTTAACTTTGTTAAGGTGGTTACATTTGTCTTCAATGCCTTGCAAGTCTTCGGCTGTTTTCTGGTTACATTCTTGAAGGTGTTTCTTTTCCTTGTTAATCTTATTGATAAGCTCATCCTGGTGGGCAATTTCGTCATTGAGGTTGCGAATCTGGTGGTCCTTGGTTGCCTTATCCTGTTCAGCCTTTTGGACTGATAGTTCAAGGTCCTCAATATCCTTCTTCAGCCCACTGAGTTCTTGTTCTATCTTCTTCTTGCTCTGGAATAGCTGATTGCGGGCCTCCTCCTCCTGCTGCAGACGTTCTGTGGTTTCCTGAGGGTGGGTAAGATGCCTGAGGTCACCATTCCGTAATCATAATCATGGCTTATTTAGAAAAAACACGGTCACAGAACACTAAGACACAAACACTGCTAAAGCTATCCAACACGACACTAGGGTTTAGGAAATCGTGGTAAGTCCTACCTCCACGATGGAGTGGGGAGCGTATAAGGAACCCATGGTGGCTACAGCTAGAGTTTACAAGGGAAGTGAACAAAGGGGAGGGGTAGGGGCTACTCGTTACAGATCGTACACAAGACCACAGAGAGAAGCTGGGTCGTTCGTATGTCGCTGCCTGGGCCAGACTGACTGCGGAGGCTGCCCTCAACCCCACCTCAGTGAGGTTGAGTCACGAGCTCACACCTGGCCCAGCTCATCACCGCTTACGTAAACAACCCACCCACATCAAATTCTAAATTTATCCCTAATATTTTTGCAAAGATTGGTTCCGCATTTCGTAAAAAAATGGATTTGCGAGTGTGAGCAAATGCCAATATTGAAATTAGAAATATTTGAAGGTATTCAAAGGAAGGTATGAGTGCAAAATTATACATGACTTCATAGTTTCTTCAAGGCCCTTGTATACCTGGGAAGCTAAATAAAGGCATGAGGTGGGGAAGGGGGGATAAGCTATAGGGGTGCTGAAGTGACGAATGGACGTAATGGAGAGCTTGTGTGGGAGTGCAAGACATCTTGCCTCTAAAAGGAATTAGTTAAAATATATGGGTATACAAAATTTTGTGTTTGGGAATATGTTGTATTAGGTACTTATTTTTTGGTGCTACTTACGTTGAGTTGAGCCTCGAGATCGGCCTTCTGGCTTTGAAGTTTGGCTTGTTTGTCCAGATACTCGGATACGTTGCCCTTGGTGGACTCGAGAGCAACCATGAGATTGTTCTTCTCTTCGAGGAGAGCAAGATTGGCCGCCTCGAGTTCCTTGCGAAGCTTAGCCTCTCGTGCGTAGTTTTCTTCAGCCTTTGCTGCCTTCTCCTCGAGAGCGCGGATCTCGTCCTCGATACGGGTGACGTTGAGGAGGGGCTTGACCTTCTGCCAGAGACGGTACCAAGCCCAGTTGCGGAGAAGCATGAACTTCCTCAAGTTGCGCTGCACCACAATGAGGGCAACACGCTGCTCTTGCAGCCTCTTGTAAGCCTTGCGACTAGTGTAGCCTCGGATCCAGGACTGCAGCCACGAGATAATCTTAGCCAAGCGGTCGTCACGAATTTCCTCAAGCTGACCCAGAACACCAGCACGGAAGAATACCTGAGGTGAGGACTGATGCGTTATTACTGGAAATCGAGTTGCAAATACTTATCTATCTTTGAAGCAAATTTCCCAAATAATGGCTGTACAAAAGACAAGTTACTTTACCTCTAGCTTATTCTCATTGATTTTCTGGAAATGAAACTGAAACATCACTTACCAGCTTAGTTAGAAAGCGAGAAACCCAATTTATAAGAGAGCAGCTGAGGAGAGATGAACGAGAGCAGTGCTGACAGCAAAGATGCGAGTGACAACTTAGAGAAGGGTTACACAGGATACACAACTTGAGGGAAACATAAGCAATGCTCGGCATTCACCGTCTTGGCAGGAACTAGGTACGGATCTCACTGTGGTGCTAAGTTAGACATTTAACTGGTTCTTGAAGGAATAAGGCAGGACAAATAACGTGATGTGGGGGATAAAACATTGCTGATAATAACAACATAGAAGGATAAGAGGGAATGTTGGTGATTCAACAGCTCTGGGTCGGAAGGCATAATGCAGTACATGTTATTACTTAGGCCACAAACAATTGGAGAGTTGTAGATAGGGAAGCTTAAAACATCGATGGAAAAAACTAGGCAACAATGATTCAAAATTTAGTAAGAGACAATTACACAGGTACTATAGGAGTGGGACAAAAGAGACATTTTGCCTCTTTGGCAACAAAAATTTATCACAAGACGAACAGGGATACACTTCAGGATATAGGATTTTTGTCGACATATCGCTGCTCTTTGATGTGAAAATCTGTTAGGTATGAATATAGAACTGTGCTGGCACAGATAAAACCTGCAAGTTATGGCTAACAGACGATATTCTCACCACATTTAACTGTTCATCTACTTGATTATCAATTTAATACATTTATATTATGAATCTAGAGGCAATTGAACATTGTTGTGGCCAGATATGTGTTGGTTACTCGTATATCTTGATCTAGACTGAGTGAGGGAATAGTTTGAGGGAATAATTTGAGGAGTGAAGGAATAGTTTTAGGAGTGAGGGGAATAATTTGAGGAGTGAAGGAATAGTTTGAGGAGTGAGGAAAGAGGGAATAATTTGAGGAGTGAAGGAATAGTTTGAGAAGTGAGGGGAATAGTTTGAGAATTGAGGGAATAATTTAAGGAGTGAAGGAATAGTTTGAGGAGTGAAGTAGTTTGAGGAGTGAAAAGGCAGTTTGAGGAATGAGGGAGTAGTTTGAGTGAATGGGAATAGTTTGAGGAGTGAGGGAATAGTTCGAGAGGAGAAGGAATAGTCTGCGCAAAGGAATAATTTTAGGAGTGAGGGGAAAGTCTGAGAAATAAGGAAATATTTGAGGAGTTTGGGACTAAGCTGAAGAGACGGGCGAGGTGAGGAGTTAGGGAAAAGTTTGAGTGAGGGGAATAATTTGAGAAATGAGGGAATAGGCTGAGGGAGAAGTGATGGAACAGTTTGTGAAAAGAGCGAGATACTGGTTGGGAGCCTTGGGATAATAGGCTCAGAGAATAGTGAGGTAAAAGGCTTGCCTTAACACCTGGCTGGTGGACACTGCGCTCAAAAATATGCATAGCAAAAGAAGACCTTTTATAATTATTATGACGTTTCTGTTACAAGAGGTTTTACCACTTGAGGTGAAACATTGTAATACTAAAAGGTTTCTTGTGCTATACATGACTTTTTTCACTAAATGTTGGCTCACAGCCAGACTCCAAATACTGTATGCGCTCGCCAGGTATCAGTTGGGCACACAGGTACGTTAAGCAATGGGCAAGAAAGGTGATTTAGTAATTGAGCACTACTGTACTGGGAACTACGAGGAGAGTGTTGAGACACACTACGTCTTCATATTCTCAACGGGCTAATTATAAAAATATGCAGCTATTTTTTTTTACTAAGGATAGCTTAGACAATGGCTAAAAGAAACTACGCTAGGCAAAACCCCATCCTTGATGTCAGCTGTCGTGAAGGCGTGTAACAACAACATGCCTTGGTGTGTCCCATGCGGAATTTCTCTGCTTCCAGATTCACTTCGGTGAGCAGTTCCAGAGTAGCTTGCTTGTCATCTTCAACGTTTTTGGTTACTTTAGGATTGAGGATGTTGTATCTAGGGATTTTGAAGAGGAAACACGATGAGTGTTCATGTCAAAGAACACACACAAAAAAAAACAAAAAAACATGACGAGTGGGGATGCATACATGCTAATACAAAATTGTAAATTAAGACTTCAGGGCAGGATCCTCACAGCGAAGTCTCAGGAATAAGCGGGTACAATACAGGTACATGTCTCTAAAGAACCTGATGAAAACAGTGCAGGAGTGAAAGGAATAAAATCGGGTGGTGGATTACTTTCTGGACAGTATTCAGTCCCGAAAGAAGGGAGCAGGGAAACAGACACATTGAAATATTATGAAAATGCTGAGGAATTGTGGTAATATGATGTGTAGCTGATCTAATATGGCGCGGAACTGATGTACTTTGATGTGGAACTGGTCTAAGATGGTGTGGAACTGGTGAATTCAGGATACTGAGACTGTGGTCTTCAAGATATTTGAGTTAATCTAAGATACTTTAGGTCTTAGCCTAATATGTCGAAGAGCTAGTCTACAATGATATGCAGCTGGGTGATCTAAGGTGTTCTGGAAATTAAGATATTGAGGAACTGGTCTAGAATGGTAAGGAGTTGACCAAAGATGTTTAGCTAGTTGAGGATGAAGAGCTGGTATAGGATGTTGGAAAACTTACCTATCATGTCGAGCAAATCTAACATGTTGATGTGCTAATATAAATTGTTGAATGGGTCTAAGATATTGAGGATTTGGTTTCAAAAGATACTTAGGACCTGGCCTCTAAAGAGCTAGTCTAAGACATCTACTACGAAAACAATATTCCTTCGCTCCCTTTTGTGGGTGAGGAGACATGCCTTAGTATGACCCATCCTGTACTTCTCGGCTTCCAACGAGATCTCCTCAAGGATGACCTGACTTGCTTTCTTCTCATCCTCGGCAGCAGCGGCGGCCTTTGAGGCAAGGATGGAATATCTGTTGGACAGATTTTTGTGCTGAAGTACTCCACAGAACGATATTTTTTATACCTTTCTTCCGATGGTAAAACCAAAGAAAAACTACACAACATTATTTAGGATAATGTAATGAAGTCTATTCTAGTTCCGGTCATTTCTATGTGCTAGCAGTCCAAGAAGACACTCTCATAGGACACTATTTCATAGAATGCACTATTTTCCATAACTACCTTCTGGAAAAAAAATGCCCAACTAATAAGGATAAATTAACCTGTTGTACTAAGTAAGAGAAGACAGAGTCACTGGCTGCCTTAAGGATGCATCATGTCCGGTATTGCTTACTCCGCTTCAGTCTTTATGCGGGTGACGTAACCGTTCAAAGGGGAAGGGTAAATACCTAGCCAAATGGTCTCTTATGGTCTATCATGCAACAGAGGAGGGACGCACGCTGCAGCGCCGCCCTCCGTTACTAAACGCAAAACCAAAGGGGGGCAGAACGTGCCTTCGTGTGACCTAATCTGAATTTTTCAGCTTCGAGCTCGATGATCTCAAGAATGACCCTGGATGCCTCTTTTTCTTCCGCGGCTGCCGCGGCCGGTTTGGAAGCTAAGATAGAATATCTGACAAACGGAAAGAGAAAGAGAGCAAAGCGTGTTAGACGGGTCATTAGTGGCTGTCGGGGAAGGGTGTAGAACAAATGTATGAGACGGAGCATATTCATGTCATAGTTACTCTTACATTGGTCCTGGTGTCTGCCACAAAAGGCTATGGGCGCCCACTGAAAGAAAGGGGGGGATGGAAGCAAGGCGAGGGGGGACTTAAATCTCCCTGGATAAGGAATATGTTAAGGAAAAACAAATGTGTTGATGTGAAACTCTGAATTTATCTTTCAACTTGTCATCCTCACCCTGGAAAAGTTCCAGAAGACGCTCATGACCCTGCAGGTGTTTTAGGGAACACAATTTTGAATTGAAATACTGTACTGTACTGTATAATTTCATCTCTCTTTGAATTATTTTTATTCAAAGGAGGGTACCTCAATGCTGATAAGTGGAGGCACCTTTCCGTTCCTCACGTCAAACCTGATTACCTTTCATTCCACAGGCGCTATATGGCCTTCATGAGTTTAGCGTTTCCCCATGAATGCAATAATCATGAATTAAAGATAATTTATTTCAAAAGACATTAATCTTAACTCCTTTGATGACCCAAGAAACTTGTCCGTGTCATATACTTATGGATATTTGCTTTATTTAACCCTGAGGGGCAAACAGTTTATAATAGATGTACTTAATTATCTCAGAACACAGCTATCCTTTAGGTATATACGTATATTAGAGAATATATATATATATGAGGCCCTATTAATGAATGTCTGAGACTGAGACCAAAATATACAGTCCTTGTCTTTTGTTTACATGTGAGTTATATATATATATATATATATTATATATATATATATATATATAAAATATATATATATATATATATATATATATATATATATATATATATATATATATATATACATGTATATATATAAACATAGCTATTTAACAGTAGATACTTTGTTTAGAATACATACGTTATACATTATTACTAAAGAAAATAAACAGTTAGGTTATAACATAAGTAATACATATTTAAACAGAACACTTATTTGTTTCTGGAAACATTAATAATGTAGGACAAACACTGTTCACGGGCAACATATCTGCTCATTTCTCACAAAAAAAGTGGTGGAACACACGAACGTGGTAAACATCGATAAAGCACAGAGAACGGTATGCGAAACCATAAAGTATACACTGGATTTTATAGAGCAAACGGTTTGAACTCGGTAGGTTGGACAGTAGATTGTATGTAGAAGAAAGTGGAACAGTATAATGACGGCAAACAAAACGATGAATTGTCAGCGTGCCGATGGCGTGAAAGCTGTAAGTTGGTCAGTTGATCATGTATAGAAGAGAATAAAGTGGAACAGTAGAATAAATACTGTAAGCACAGCGGTAAAAGGAACACATTAAGCACAACGGTAAAATGAGGACGGTAACCAGAGATGTATAGAATGGAAACGGTTAGGTTAGGTTAGGTAAGGTTCGTCAGGAAACAGGACAAGTGTTTCCTGACGCGGGTCTTAGTCAGATGATGACCCGCCGTTGGAGCTTTTGGTCATCTGACCGAGGCCTTCCACTGGCTTACCGGTCCACCCTTTTAAAAATTATGATCATTTTTTATATGGAAGCTGTAAGGATAAAGTGAAACTAGAAAGCGGATTGATAGAATGAAAATGGTACGTGGGACAATCAGCCATATACAATAAAGTGTAAGTGGAACGGTAGAATGAACACGGTAAGCAGTGAGGTAGAATGGAAACGGCAAGGGGAACAGTAGAGTGTACTCGGTTAGAAGAATGACTTCAATAAATCTTTTAAGTTAGAAGATCCAGGGAGTGCAGCCAATTCGGTGAGGGGACGAAGAAGACAACTCCATAACGGATAATACATCACTGGAACACAGTACACGGCAGATCCTGATTCTATTAGCTAGGAAGAAATCTTGGGAAGACTGCCAGAAAAATTTAATAAACAATTTCTGAATGAAGCAATACTAATTTGTCGTGTTCAGATTCAAACTCTAAAAATAAAAGAATCAATGGGGATTCGACATTAAAGTCCTCTTAGTTCAAGAAAGTCAAGTTGGAATTATAAGTTGAATGCGAATTTCAGAGATCGTGGATGAATTTCTGTGTTGAGTTCACTAACATCTCCCATGGAGAGAAATTATATAAAATACCGACACGATGGATAAAAACACAAATGCATTATAATACGAGCCTTTGTTGAGGTTTCGCCCACAGTAGGTTTTATCAAGTTATAAACAGATGTTCGTGCCTTTATAAAGCCTACTGCGTGGGCGAAATATTGCCAATAAAGTATCGCATAATACTGCATTTAATCTCTTCAACATCTTCGATAGCAGAACACCGCAGTGGTATAAGAAAATCGGAGTAAATAATCTTTTTCGTGTAAAAATCTTCGCAGCCCAGTGGTACTCTGCATTATCACAAGTGACAACAGGAAATTATTTGATCCTACCACTGACTTCGAGGAATAAGGCAACTGTTGCTTTCCCCTCGTCTATCATAAAGAGTCAACACCTACCACATTCGCACGCGTCAGTAGACACAACCGACAAAAATAACGAACGCCAGCATTTGCTTCTTGTGTCTTTTCAAAACCAACGCCACCGCTTAAAGGATCATCACATGACAGAAACCTGGCTTAAAAAATTTTCTCTGAAGACTGCACTAACGTATGTCAGAGCGTAGGCGCTGATATGACAACTCGCCTCACATCAGGTCTATGATGATAATCTGTAAATTATTTATCTGTAACTTTCATAATTGCATATCTTTTCAGAGTTCGTTCTATATAACTTGTATAATGAACATTATATCCGTGAGTGTCTATTACGCAAAACATCCTATTGCTACCATAAACACCCACTCCCCCCACACACATTATGTGTGTGTGGCTGGAACCTACGAACTTTGCGACTACGTACAGTGTACACAAATAACCCACACATGACTCACGAAATCGTAATGACATGATTGCAAACAAACCATACCCCCGGCCGGGATTGAACCCGCGGTAATAGAGTCTCAAAACTCCAGCCCGTCGCGTTAGCCACTAGACCAGCTAGCCACAATAAGATTCGTCCAACTAGGTGTATTTCTACACCACACATAGGAGAATGTAATTTAATATGATTTGTACCGCAAAGTCCGTAAGTTCCAGCTTTTTCTGGACTAGATAAAAAAAAAGAATTAACACACCGGCCGACCCTCGCCGAGGTAAAGTGACCCGAAAAAGAAGAAATAGTTTCACCATCACTCATGTCATCACCGTTTTGCCAGAGGTACGCCGACATTACAGCTCTGATGCCCCACCAAACCAACATATCTGCCCCTCCTTCAGGTGTACGGACCGTATTCCTACCTCCAGGACTCCAAGTCTGACAAACCGAATTAAACGCTTGTAAATCTTTGCATATTCTGCAAATTGCGCGCGCGCACACACACACGCACACACACACACACACACACACACACACACACACACACACACACACACACACACACACACACACACACACACACACACACACATATATATATATATATATATATATATATATATATATATATATATATATACATATATATATATATAGTATATATATATATATATATATATATATATAATATATATATATATATATATATATATATATATATATATATATATATATATATATATATATATATATATAATGTATATATATATATATATATATATATATATATATATATATATATATATATATATATATATATATATTTTTTTTATTATCACACCGGCCGATTCCCACCAAGGCAGGGTGGCCCGAAAAAGAAAAACTTTCACCATCATTCACTCCATCACTGTCTTGCCAGAAGGGTGCTTTACACTACAGTTTTTAAAACTGCAACATTAACACCCCTCCTTCAGAGTGCAGGCACTGTACTTCCCATCTCCAGAACTCAAGTCCGGCCTGCCGGTTTCCCTGAATCCCTTCATAAATGTTACTTTGCTCACACTCCAACAGCACGTCAAGTATTAAAAACCATTTGTCTCCATTCACTCCTATCAAACACGCTCACGCATGCCTGCTGGAAGTCCAAGCCCCTCGCACACAAAACCTCCTTTACCCCCTCCCTCCAACCCTTCCTAGGCCGACCCCTACCCCGCCTTCCTTCCACTACAGACTGATACACTCTTGAAGTCATTCTGTTTTGCTCCATTATATATATATATATATATATATATATATATATATATATATATATATATATATAATATCTTTTGTTTATCCCAGTCATGTCAGAAATTTATAATAATTGAAAAACTTTTGTGATCAGTATTGGGAATTGCTCCTGGTCACCCAAGCTTGAACTGCAACGAAAATCACGTCAGCGTTGCTTTGTAGAACCCATACTGGTACGTAATGGTACAAATATTTGAACGGTGTTCGCAGTGTTAAAAGAAAGGCTCTGATTTGTTCTCATCTTTGTTGTAATCCCTTACCTATTTCTTCCGTTTATTTCACGGTAAGTAGTGAAGACAGAGAATTTGCAATGGAAACCTAGCTACTGGATGAAGAGGCGATAAGAATGAGGATGATTTCCTTTGTTCCATGCTTTGTCTGCCAAATGTTCCTCACCTTCCCATATCTCACCGAGGCCTAGAATTAGGCCTACCTATTCTCTGGATCCTTCCTGCTGATGCCTATACGTAATTTGTTAAATGAACATGCAAGAGACTTCCAACAGCAGTAGATATTATGAAACAGAAAAGTGTTTATAATATAATAAAGCAAAAAGTCAAATATAAAATCATACGAATCGAAAAGATCTTTGTTCAGCTTAGAGGGGAGATGTGGAGTTTACTTAATTGATAGTTTACAATCATCCATATCCTATAAATTGTGCAAGAAAGGTATAAAATACCGACAATATGAAAGTAAAGACACCACGATGCTGTGAACACTAACTCCAAGGCTGAGGGACTGATTACCTCATCTTTTGTATATAGTTCTACAGTCTTAAAATTATGTCCTAGAATTTGTATTGATAAAGCCACTGGATGGCGAAACGTCTACCATAAAGATATCCAGATGTGGCACATGTGTCTTTACTTTCAAACGTTTTCTAGTTGTACTGAAGAATAGGAAGACCCTGCCTAGGCAACTAAAGGTGAACGTTGTATTTACATTGTGTACTTTTGTAAATTACTTGTATGTATAGTTGTAGTGTGAATATATTACTGACAACTGGGTATTTAAGAAGCTTAATATATTTTTTTTTGTAACTTGATTCTTGGTTCTATGTAAGCTAGATGTATGGATTGAGGAGGCAAAGGCAGGATTAGCTAAACGCAAAGGGAAGTGACAAGGGAACATTAGATAATAAGTTGTATATCAATAGTATAAAATACCGACAAAATGATGAATTAGACATGTGCAGCATCTGGGTATCTTTACTTTGTAGACGTTTCGCCATCTAATGGCATTATCAAAACAATACATGGACATAATCTGAAGACTAAAAATATATACAGAGGAGGTAATCAGTCCCTCAGACTAGGAGTACGGACTGATTACCTCGTCTCCCACAGTCTTCTGTATATGTTTTTTAGTCTTCAGATTATATCCATGTATTGTATTGATAAAGCCAGTGGATAGCAAAACGTCTACAATAAAGATACCTAGATGTTGCACATGTGTATAATTCATTATTAGAATATAAGAAAGGGGAAGGCTTGCGTAAACGCAAAGGAATTAACCTGGATGCAGTTGGAGAAGGGGTGAGGATTACCTAAACATAAAAGGAATAGGCAATTAATGCCTTAAACATAATGCTTACTGGACGCTGTTATAACTGAGGCAGGGGGGTAATGTGTTATGTTTTTGAAAGATTCAGATTAACACTAGTCAGTAGATGTGAGGAGGAGAGTGAATAACCGAAAAGTATGTTCACAGTAGATGCAGTTGTTCACATTAAAATAACTCGAACAGTCCCTGTCTCCACTGGGACCGATTGTACACGAAAAGGAGAGAAAAAAAAAACATTTTCCAGTGTTTAGTTACCAAACCCAATCATAAATGTTAGTGAAGCCACTTCTGCCTTCGGCGTCAGTATTATGAAATATCACTGGTACAGACCTGGTGGGGTAATTTAACAAAATATTAATCAAATAGAACCGTGTAGTTATTTTGGAAAACGGGTTATATTTGTGGAAGACTTTCACTCCAACATGCCTTGGTGTGACCCAAGCGGTACTTCTCCTCGTCCATCTTGATCGAGTCCAGACAAACCATAGTCGCTTTCTTCTCGTCCTCGGCATCATTCATGGCCTTGGGGGCCAAGATCTTGTAGCTAAAGAAGTATCGTGTTAGGATGACAGGCATTTTCACACGACAAGCACACAACTTTCTGATGCTTGTGTCATATACTCGATAATCCTTTCATTGTCTTCGATAATAACATCAGGCTCATACAAAATTCACTTACCTTCATTACAGTGATAAGATGACTGGGAGGATATTAGTCATATGATTTCCCTGCTTAGTTCTGGATCACAGACATCGCTTGATATAATTAATTATAAAGCTGAAAGTTAAGGCTCGTCTCTTATCTTCAAATATTGTCTCTACTAAGTAACTTTTGGCCCAACTGCATACTAATCAGCTGTACTGCTTCACCTTAGAACTTAATTACTATATTTATATGAATCGCTAAACATATTTGAGTCAAAAATATAAAAAGGCGTTGGAGGTTCGATCCTCCGTTTGCTAATCACGAGACATACACACTACCAAACTGTACTCATCTAATATTTTAGTACTAGAGAGTTTCTTGTCATTAGAGAGCAACGATGACTGTTGTCTTACACAATGATTTCACTTCATAAAATGAAATATCGATAACATATAAACACACCAATACCAAGACTCGTATTGCTACCGGTCAGCAAATTCGGAATAATTCCAATTTTTTAATCAAATAAAATATTTATTGGTGCAATCTGGATCAGATTTCTTTTAAAATGACGTCAGAAAGAATACTCATTATATCCGAAGAAACAAATATCATATAATTTTTGAAAATGTAATATTCTGACTAAAAATAATGACAAAATCAGCATTAATATGGCGGGTAGTGCAGGGCGCAACTTGACAAATTTGGGAAAACCTGAAACTAATTCGGGAATTTTGTGGTATATTAACAGTACTTAAATTCTGTTTACGCAGTTAATACTTTTATATAATCAACTTATAGTTAGACTAAATTTATGTTTTTTTTATAACGTGTTTTGCATGTGTACAACTTGGTGTTAATTAAGTTTTGGTGTAGCCATTTTCCGTATGTCTGAGGCATTAATTTTTAATGTTTACAGGATGGTGAACTTACCGGTGCTTGAAGTCAGGATAAACCATCCTGTTAGGGAAGCCCTTACGACAGATACGGATGCCTTCAAGCACACCATTACAGGTCAACTGATGCATTACCAGAGCGGCGTCGATCACACCTATTCAGGGACGAGAACACAGTATCAAGGATATGTACTGGACCCCTTACGACGGCCAGCATCCCAGAGGCAGGAGCCCCACTGTCCAGCCCCAGGTAGGTGGCTACGTAGAGGGTTGTTCCGGGGTGTATAGATGCAGCACCAAAATGGTAGTTGAAGTGAAATATTAAAGATGGTAGCACTAACCGGTAGTTGAAGTGAGCTACCAGTCACACCAGCACCAACTGCGTTATGAAAGTTTGTGGAACTGACTTTACTGAACCATGTGAAAATTAACACTGGATGATTTATTATAACTACATTGAAATCAAATCCGTATATTTTAATTGCATGATCAAAGTGGTGGTTATAACATACTGAATTGAAAGTGTGATATTAATAATACTTAAAAACATTTTGGATTAGCCGATAGGCGAAATAGAAGTGATATAGGAGAATAAGTAAAATTGAAGGGAGACTTAAGAAAATTTAATATATTACAGTGCTTGTTAAGGGAAGAATGATGCAAGTCTCAGTACTAGTAAAGATACGAGTGATAAATTAGACATGTGCAACTCTTGGGTATCTTTATTGAGGAAACGTTTCGCCACACAGTGGCTTCATCAGTCCATACAAAGGAGGAACGTGAAGAACAGGAGGAGAATAAGGTAATCAGTCCCTCAACCTTGAGTCGATGTCGTCAGTCCATCAATCTTGAATCTATTCAAGATTGATGGACCGACCACATCGACTCAAGGTTGAGGGACTGATTACCTCATTCTCCTGTTTTTCACGTTTCTCCTTTATATGGACTGATGATGCCACTGTTTGGCGAAATGTTTCCTCAATAAAGATACCCAAGAGTTGCACATGTGTCTAATTTATCAACGTGTCGGTTCTCTGAACCATTTATCTACAAAGATACGAGTGATGATGGACCTTACCAGGCTCCTTGATTTCGTTAGGAATGATGCAACGCACGAAGTGAGGGGCAGTTTTTCTCAAGACAGTCATCAGGTTGTTAAGCTGTTCCTGAAGAATGAACGATAACACATACTAAAACAAGAACTACGAGGACACCATAACTCATTGGTCAGAAGTTGGTCCAGTAGTTCACTGGTTTCTCCAACTGACCGCTCTAACACTATACAAAAAGCAGTACCCATTGAGATCCAGTGTTTGGGTAGACAAATATCGCGTTACCACATTACATACAAGATTGGACATTGGACAGGAGATGGAACATGCCTGTTAATCACAAAAAAAAAAATCCAACGGTGGGAATGAAGTTGACAGTATTGATTAACATGTGAATTATTCGAAGGACATTATATTTAGTTATTGTTTATATATACACAGGGAGTTGAGGTATCCCATCCAGTCAATGTGGAGTTAAGAATACGCTTTTAGACATAGGACACTGAGACAAGACAAGGGCCGGCTAGGTTCTGTACCAGCATTTACGAGGCCTGTGGCAACCCTGGGATCTTACCAGCTGCCTTAATCTCATTAGGGATAATACAACGGATGAAATGCGGGGCTGTGCTCCTGAGGACAGTCATCAGGTTGTTGAGCTGCTCCTGAGGGAAGGAGGGAAATGTAGCAGATATAGATTGCGGTAATTACCTTGATATCCTCTTCCACCAGGGGCTTTCAGGGTCTTGTGGGCATTTATGTCACGCATGTCACAAGTCCCGTTGACAATTCTAGACTATACAGGGTCTGGTCTAACGTCTTGAATGACCCACATGCAGTCGATAGGTCTTAAACCTAACAAACTAACTGGCTACAAAGTCATGTTTTGTCCTGTTGAACACTAGAAAAAGTACACATGGGTGGTAAATGCCTATTGGCGGTTCACCGGACAAATAACATAAGTTTTCCCACCAGCTGTCAGATATATGGACAGTGATGACACTAATCTGGGATAAGTAGAAGGGGAATACAAGGACCAAATGGCTCTTTCAGGGACATGTTGGACAAAAGGGACATAAATTTTTGATGGAAACGGAGACAGGACAAAAACTTTGGCAGTAATAACCTTGCTCAAGAAGGTGTTGGGCTACTGTACGACTATTTTAGATCTAACTGGGGACCTTACCAGACGCCTTTACTTCATTAGGGATGATACAACGGATGAAATGCGGGGCTGTGCTTCTGAGGGTGGTCATCAAGTTGTTGAGTTGCTCCTGGGGAGGACCCGGGGCCAGTTAGCTACATGATTATAACAATAGGTAAAAAAAGGGGGCCAAGAGATGTGGAAGTCCTTTTTCCAGTGTGTGGAAGGGCATGCGTGTAGAGTCTTAACCATAGTGCTACTAGGAAACAGGTCTTGTTCCTCAAGTGGTCATGTACCGGGCTCTTCGAACCTACGTTTCATAACGGTTCGAGATATGGAGTAAATTGTTCCTAAACTAATTAGGGAGAAGGGTTTGCCACATTGTAAAGTGGATTAAACTTTCCAGTGGAGAATAAAAAAAAGTGACCCAGCAAACCTACCAGTCCGGCCAGTTACATCCGTTTAAGTATGGTTTTAGAAGTGGTGGAGGGAAGGGAAGGTCACACACGTTTACAGAGAGCACTCTTGAAGGTGGCGTACTTCAGCTGTTCTTGAAGATCACCTTATGGCTTGTAAACTTTGTGGTCGTTTGAAATGATAAACCATAAAAACACAAACTTTACTGTGAAGGGAAAACAAAGAGAAGGGTGCCTGTCCTCTGGGTTCACTCGGGAGGACTGGCATCACAAGTGTTGGAGTGCATGGCGGGGGATTAATGGTTGGGGGGCGACCTTACCAGTCTGCTTAAATTCATTAGGGATGATGCATCTGATGAAGTGGGGACAAGTGCTCATCAGGGTGGTCATCAGCTTATTTAGCTGCTCCTGGAGTCAGACCATATAAAGGGAGAAATGAAACTGTTAATTGACACAAACTGCATGAAAATACCGCATGGAGGGTGGGAGGGGATAGTAGAGGTATTTTGAGATATAGGTGTATAAATGTTACTGAGACGGTGAAGAGAGTTCAAGTGTAGTTAACAGGAATTTTGTACAGCACACCATCGCATATATAAGTTTATAGTGTTCATAATACAGTATAAGATTATAAGATAGGTGTAAGGTTGTAGTAGTGCGGGAGACACATTAATCATTGACCTACCAAACGCCACCAAATAATTTAGAGACAGCAGTCATTACTAATGACCGCACACTTGTCACCGCAACCTGTCTTAAATAAAATAGTCACCGATGAACTCGGACAATGCATGACAACTTGCAAACTCGCGTTCAACACAGAAATGACCTACATGCGATTTTGAAATCAATCCATCAACCTCAATATTAATAAGTAACATTAAAATATAGAGAAGGGAGGTCCTACACCTAGATAGCAAACTAAAATTGAAGAACATGGTATACTCAACCATAGAGAACACTACCTCATCAACAATAGCATAGCCAACCATAGAGAACACTACAATATTTTAGTCTGCTATAGAGAACACTGCCTGAATAGTGGCGTAATCTACAAGACTAAAGTTTAATATAAATTAACAATTATTTTACCTCATTTAATTTTTTTTCAGTTCATTTCAATCCAAATTCTAGTATTTTGTTTAAAGTAAATTTTAATTAGTATGCTGCACATACTTTATAATTTATGCAGTTAACTGTGAGCTACACCTATAATATTATTTATTCTACATAACCAATAACCGTCAACTTTGAACTTTATAATGTCTGTATTAGTCTTATATTTGCTAACTATAACACACCTATATTTACTATGTTAACATTTTTTTTTTATTTTAAATTACTTTCACTACTACTATTCCTTATTTTCAAGTCATTGTTACTGCTACTGCTGTTCTTTATTTTGCGACATCAGCTTACTTAATCAATACACACAAATTAGTAAATCAGAATTCACGCTAATTGTAATGTACCTTCTGAAAATGAAGATAATTTTGATTACTGTTTGTATGGGTTCAAGGTGTATTTCTTGATAGGTTAAAAACGTGTTCGTGGTTACGTTAATATTACCATACTTATTATACTAGTGATATTTTTTACAGAAGTATAATAGATCTTGTCACATCACGAGGTAGAGGATTGACAGAGGTGATAACGTTGGTTGATGTTTCATATTCCTTTTAAATTTACTGGGAACTATACAAGAAATAACTCGTGGAGTGTGTTATCTTGTACTCATGTCAGTGGTGGTGGTGTGTTGTGTCATCTTGTGATCACGTCAGTGGTGGTGGTGTGTTGTGTTATCTTGTGATCACGTCAGTGGTGGTGGTGTGTTGTGTTATCTTGTGATCACGTCAGTGGTGGTGGTGTGTTGTGTCATCTTGTGATCACGTCAGTGGTGGTGGTGTGTTGTGTCATCTTGTGATCACGTCAGTGGTGGTGGTGTGTTGTGTTATCTTGTGATCACGTCAGTGGTGGTGGTGTGTTGTGTCATCTTGTGATCACGTCAGTGGTGGTGGTGTGTTGTGTCATCTTGTGATCACGTCAGTGGTGGTGGTGTGTTGTGTTATCTTGTGATCACGTCAGTGGTGGTGGTGTGTTGTGTTATCTTGTGATCACGTCAGTGGTGGTGGTGTGTTGTGTTATCTTGTGATCACGTCAGTGGTGGTGGTGTGTTGTGTTATCTTGTGATCACGTCAGTGGTGGTGGTGTGTTGTGTTATCTTGTGATCACGTCAGTGGTGGTGGTGTGTTGTGTTATCTTGTGATCACGTCAGTGGTGGTGGTGTGTTGTGTCATCTTGTGATCACGTCAGTGGTGGTGTGTTGTGTCATCATGTGATCACGTCAGTGGTGGTGGTGTGTTGTGTCATCTTGTGATCACGTCAGTGGTGGTGGTGTGTTGTGTTATCTTGTGATCACGTCAGTGGTGGTGGTGTCTTGTGTCATCTTGTGATCATGTCAGTGGTGGTGTGTTGTGTCATCATGTGATCACGTCAGTGGTGGTGGTGTGTTGTGTCATCATGTGATCACGTCAGTGGTGGTGGTGTGTTGTGTCATCTTGTGATCACGTCAGCGGTGGTGGTGTGTTGTGTCATCATGTGATCACGTCAGTGGTGGTGGTGTGTGTCATCATGTGATCAAGTCGGTTGTTGCTGGAGTGTTGTGAGTTATGTTGTGGTCACATCAGTATTGGTGCAGTGTTGTGTGTTATGTTGTGGTCACATCAGTGTTGGTAAGGATTGTGTGTTATGTTGTGGTCACATCAGTGTTGTTGGAGTGTTGTGTGTTACACTGTGGTCACATCAGTGTTGCTCGAGTGTTGTGTTACATTGTGGTCACATCAGTGTTGCTGGAGTGTTGTGTGTTACATTATGGTCACATCAGTGTTGCTGAGTTGTGTGTTAACGTTGTGGTCACATCAGTGTTGCTGAGTGTTGTTTGTTAACGTTGTGGTCACATCAATGTTGCTGGAGTGTTGTGTGTTAACCTTGTGGTCACGTCAGTAATGGTTAAATAAATGTATCGTCTTAACTGTTGGTTTACATGTGATAGTACAGTAGTTCTATAGATTTTATTTTGGTTACATCAGGTGGTCATCTCAGCAGGTTAAACTCGTACATCACCTAACATGTAAATAATGGGAAATATGCTAGGATACTTATTGTGTTATCGAGTGAAGTGAGAATTCTTATTATAAACACCTCAGTAATATTATAACAACTCCTTTTTGTTATAAATAACTCAGTACTGTTATGAATAAATCAGAATGTTCTTATTCTAGTGTTATAAAAATAAATATCTTTTTTTTATTTGAAACTACCGTAAGTTTTCATTTTAATTATTTTAACTGCATAGCTGCACATACTATTGAATCATTTGTCATATCAGATTTACAAGCTAATAGATCTTTTATAATGATAGTCGGATACAACCTCTTATCACATATTTCATCCTGTTGAATTTAGCTAAATTTTCTATATGACTTAAAATCATGTGCAAATGCATGAGTTACTCAACGATTACTGTGGTTAATATCATTATTTTAATTATATAGCACCTGTTTTTGTTATATATATATATATATATATATATATATATATATATATATATATATATATATATATATATATATATATATATAAAATATATATAATGTGTGTCTGCATTCTTAAAAATGATACTTTAATATGTAATTTGACCATATTGAAAGAGACAAACAACGTAGGCTATTGTGATGTTCAGTCACATTCGCTAATAACATAATGAAGGAAATAGTGCCTTATATATATTGGATAGATGGAGCAGCACTTTAATTCAAAATTTAATCTTAAGATATAGGTGTAACATTTTCATCATATATGTGCCACTTTGTGTTAGGGAGTACAGTTCCACTTCGGAGTTTTATTTCGGAAAACATGTTATTCTCCATCTCCATACACAGCTTGTGGGTGTAGAATTCACCATCAAACACAAACATTGCGCTGATAATGCTTAGTTTATCGAATTCGTTGGTGGTAGTGACCACAAGTAAAAATTATAATTGTAGGCTTCGTCTGACAAAACACTAACACCATTAATGGGGACTTATGTATATAATAACGCTTCATCACTGTTCATCATTTTAGACTTAGTAATACAAACTGTGCTAATTATTTTCCTTTTTTTTCAAAATGTTCACTATTCATCGATAATGTGATATAATTGTATTTTTTAGTCTTTTCATTTTGGTCAAACTACATAAACATATAAATGTAATATAACCATAGTGGAAAGTAGTTAAATTCCAAGCGAGTTCGTAATTTCTCCAATGATATTGTTCCTTGAAAATGTAATTAAGAGATAGCAAAATCACTCTAAATTTAATATCCTCTCACTGTGGTTTAATTAAGTACCAAAATGTCATTGACTCCTGATCGGGGTGCTATGCACCCCACACATTATATATATATATATATATATATATATATATATTTTATATAATATATATATATATATATATATATATATAATATATTTATATTATATATATATATTATATATAATAATAATTTTTGTTGCTCAGAAATACATTATTATCTGATGGTTTATGGTCAATTTTGCAAAGTGATACAGTAATATAAAAGTGTATTAATATTTTGAATATCCTGGACAAGCAAACAGAAATCATATGATACATGTAAAATAAGTTATAGGTTATGTTGTATGCATTATTCTGTTATTTTGTAAGCGTTGTATATAATTACATAACAGTCAGCAATATAAAGTACACGAAAACAGAACAATCAGGAGAGGGGATGTGGAGGTATGTTTTTTTTTAGAGAGGCAGTAAGGAAAGGTGTCTTGTTCGGCTCGGATGGGGAGGGGATGAGGAGGCTGTAACCTATCATTTGAGGGGGGTGAGGAAGGGAACTACTGCCGAGGGGAAGGGGTGACGGGGAGGTTGTAACCTTCTATGGATGTAGGTAGGGGGGTGGAGTAGTTGATCTTAGCAGGCCAGGCGGCGTGATGTAGCACTAGTGCACCTAGAGAGAGCTTATTTACCTTGTACATGCCGGACACCGTCTGGAAGCCAGAGCCCTTGGCGCGTTTCCCTCCTGCAGGGAAAGACACAGACAAGGTTCACCTATGGCGTATTAGCAGCGCTCTACCGCTACACACGCACAATTAAGCCTTCATTAACACAGAGTTAACCACAAGACGAATCACTGTGAGGTAATTAAGGGTTAGTGTATTACTCAAGTGGCCAGATCTACTTGTTGAGAGACATTACATATCGATTGAGGCATTGACACATTGAGACAGGCGTAGACGCGTCGAGACAGGCAGCCAGTTATAAGACAATCGAATGGAAACAGAAGCCAGTTATAATGTAATAACGCTTCCAAATAGCCAGCCAGTTATGGAACAGTGAGGTGGACGGGAAGAACAACAAGTACGCATTCTATCATGGCGAGGCCACCTAGGCGATTTTCTGCAATCCACAACATTTAGAAATAGTTACCCTGTAAAGCCCGGAAACTGTCAGGAAGCCAGAACCCTTTGCACGCTTTCCACCTGTAGGTAGACAACACTCTCATTATCCGTGTCTCAGGAGGAGAGGTGCCTACCAGGTTTCTGGGAGGCTGTCTACCTCGGCTCTTTCATCATGCCAGACCCCCTCACATAACCCGTTCGGCGTCATCTCAAGTCACAAATGAGACGACTCCAAGAAAATAACTCAGGATGAAAAGATAAAAATAACATACGCATCAGCTATAATAGAAGATATAAATGGCATACGCATCAGCTATACAAGTTAAATATTCTGTATTGGTCAAAACACCAGAAAAAAACACTAAGTTGTTGTTGCACGCAACATGCACCAGCAGCATTTGCCACTGTAGTAAACAAAAACTTTGTCCTGGCAAAGTATCAAAAAGTTTAATATCAAAATAGTTATTATGAAATGTTTATATATTTCTAACATTTTTTACTAGCTAAACTTTTGAGTGTTGAAGATTACTTTTTTTTTTGCTTGATGAGGTTTTATTAAGTTAATGTAAATATTACAGTATAAATCTAAATGAAGGTCTATAATGTATTTAACTACCCAAGTATACTACCAGGTATACCACTAAGATATTCTACCAATTAACTTAATATTTACTTAATTATCACATGATGTAGCAAACAAGTAGAAATTCATAGTCAAGATACATCTAACGAGAAAAATATAAGTGTAAGTCTAAAGAGCAAACTAAGCAACAAAGATTATCTGTATTTCAGTTCCTCCACATTCTACGGAGGTTTCACTGGGTGAAGCCAATAGTACAGGAATGGCTGGTGATCGTGGCTGCAGCAGTACTCTGTGGAAGAGATATATTCCATAATCTCTGCTCTCTTTACCCACTTACTGATGATACATGACTAGCGAATAATCTTGGCCCAGTATTATCATAGCAGTTTTATAGTATTTATTGTATAGGGCAAGACTAAGACTTAATTCGCAAGTAACCCACAGACTGGAAGCGAAAACTGAAACACTGTCGGCTGTGGCTAATAGGACCATTAAGTGGTGTCCAGTTTATACTTCAATTGATGGGCTGTCATTTGTTACAGCCATGGTATTGTGACTTATTCTTCAAAGACTGAGAGCGAAAGGTCATTTAGTATGGAAATAAAAGAGGGTTTCTTAGAATACGTACCACCCTTGCCACCAGTGTCGGCGCCACCAGACTGGCCGGGGTGGTCGAAGAAGATCTCAACAGCCAGAGAGTTGCTGGCCTTCTTGAGCTGGTCGACGACGGTGTCGTTGAGGGGATCCTTGTTCTTCTCAAGCCATCCAGTAAGATTGTATGGCACGGTACCGGCGTAGTGAACGATGGCAAAGTGGGACTCGATTTGACCTGGCTTGGGAGGTTTGGGCTTGATGAAGTTAGGAGATTTCCCAAGATGGTTCGTTTTCAGCTTCTCCTCGAAGGATTTGTCAGTAGCCTTAGGGAACATAGACTCCTCTTCAAGGATGGAGAGGATGCCTAGAGGCTGTTGGAGACAATGCAGTATGTTAGGAAATCTCAAACTGCTGGGTGTATTTGAATCTAACATTATAGCATATAGACATTTTTCAAAACGGTTGACTTGCATGATGAAACAAAGTTTAATTATATATGCAAGTTTGAAAATGTAGTTATATTCTTGAAATTGCTTAATCAATACGGGGTTTCAGTGAACACTACGTGTTTAAGCTATAACTGTAAGATCAGGTTGTACTTACCTGGAGAACCGTAAAAACTGTTTTTGACAAATATTCTTTAGTCTACATTTGAATGTGAAATATATATATATATATATATATATATATATATATATATATATATATATATATATATATATATATATATACATATTAACTGTTTTCAACAGAATTTGATATATTATGTTAGAGTGGCATTGACATAATGCTTATAAATATGAAGGACATACTGAAAGCTGCAAGACAATGAGTGCATGAGATGTAACAACATTCAGTGCCAACCTATTGATCTATGCGTTCCATTGCTTAATGCGTAATCCGGTAGCATGAAGTGGCACTAGGGCCAGCAGATAGGTGGTGGGAACGCGAGGCGTTTACAGATAACAAAGAAGCACGAGAGTTAGTGGGTTAAGGGTGGAACTGTGAGACAGCAACCATTGCTCAGTGATAAATGACCTGTTCTTTCCGTCTACTATGTAGTAAAAGTCTACACAGATAACGGCTTGGGGCTGCATTATCACTTGGCTTGGCACGAGAAGATTACGTACATGATTGCACGAGATAACATATAATCCCTCTTACTGTTCCGTGGTAGAGGTTACCTTTTCAATGAGGTCAATACAAGCCTGGAGGTCAAGACCAAAATCTATGAAGGTCCATTCAATTCCCTCCCGCTTGTATTCCTCTTGTTCCAGGATAAACATATGGTGGTTGAAGAACTGTTGTAGTTTCTCGTTTGTGAAATTGATACACAGTTGCTCAAAACTGTTGAACTGGAGGTGAGGAAAGGGACTATACATCAGTAATGCACAAGGAAATGCATAGACAAGTTAGAACAAATTCAAGGTGGGCACAGATAACAAAGGCTGTCGTTCGCTTTGTTTTCTCACAGGACATAAACGAAAATCATAAGACACATTAACAGAGGGTTATGTTGACAAATTAGGGGGTACACGTTGGGATTCAGGGATGGTGTCATAGTCACCAGTTCGCCTGGCACTCCGAGGAGGGTCTGGTTTGGCAACGGACAAAAGAGACAGGATACAGGTCCTTCATGTCCTGGCATGGACCACACGACGGACGCTAAGATTGGCACTGTCGTTTTACCTTCTCGATTAGTTCAATGCAGGCCTGAAGGTCCAGACCAAAATCAATGAAAGTCCAATTAATGCCCTCTCGCTTGTACTCTTCTTGCTCGAGGACAAACATGTGGTGGTTGAAGAACTGTTGTAGTTTTTCGTTGGTAAAATTGATGCATAACTGCTCAAAGCCATTAAACTGGAAGGGTGGTAATAGATGCACAGAGATTAGGTTAAGCAACACGATACGAGTGGGATACATGGCTTTGGCCTCGTCTTAGCTGGCCACGGGGTTGGGGAAGCTGGGAAGAGGTGCATAGATATGAGTAAACACTGTAACACATGAAGGTTTAGGTAAGAACATAATATGGACCCTAGAAAGTTTGTTTCTTCCGGATCTTTTAGCGTGGGGATACGAGGGAAAAGTATCCACATAATTATGGAGGAGGGAAAGAAGCGGGGTAAGGAGTAAAGAAATCAGAAGAGCATGACTCTCCTTCGTGATACATGTTAGAAAAGAAATGTCGAGTTTGTTCATTTCAGTAAGTGGGTACATGCGTGGGAAGGTAAGGGGCCGGTAGTTACCTTCTCAATAAGTTCAATGCAGGCCTGGAGGTCCAGACCAAAGTCAATGAAAACCCAGTTAATGCCCTCTCGCTTGTATTCTTCTTGCTCGAGGACAAACATGTGATGGTTGAAGAACTGTTGCAGTTTCTCGTTGGTGAAATTGATGCATAACTGCTCGAAGCCATTGAACTAGGAAAGGCAAGACCATACACTAGGATAAGGTTCTATTCACAACACACTGAAAATCATACCGAGGGGAAGTTTGGTCTGTCATATCATTAGACCACAAATTGACAAGGAAAACTCACATAACGGGAAAGGTTAATATATCGAGGACCTCCAAGTGAGGGAGTGCTACAAATCCTGGAAGTCATGTTTTGTTTCCGTCACCTAGGGCCAGAAAATGTATATACGGACAGAGGAAAAATGTCCTGCCAGTTTAATGGGCAGGGTAGGTTCGGGAAAAAGGGGGTGCGCGCCACTGATATATGGCTTTATTGTACACATGGAGAGGAAGATTTGTGTGAACAGTCTGTGTTGGGCAGCATTAGTACACAAGTATCCGTTGCAGTAGCTGCTGCCAGTGTGAAGGAATGGGGTGACAAGGAACACTGTTGTGTGAAATTTGCCACTTCCCAAAACGTTCTTTATTGGGACTATGGCGTCAGAAGATGCAGAATCTCCACAAACGCGCAATGTTGATGTGATATTGTTACCTTCTCAATAAGTTCAATGCAGGCCTGGAGGTCCAGGCCAAAGTCAATGAAAACCCAGTTAATGCCCTCTCGCTTGTACTCTTCTTGCTCGAGGACAAACATGTGATGGTTGAAGAACTGTTGCAGTTTCTCGTTGGTGAAATTGATGCAAAGTTGTTCAAAGCCATTGTACTGTTGGGAAGGATTGAAAGATAATAAATATCATACTGGGAGATTCCCTGCTTGTTAAATCCTCCATCAGGGTGTTCTGCTGAATTATGAATGTTCATTACAGGACTGCAGGGTACATTTAATGAATTGTGATTACACATAGGACAGATTAAAGGCTTATGTAATTTTTAGTAAGAAAACGCTTTTGAAGAATTTCGTTAGAACGATCTTTAGAAAAATACGAAAAGTAACTTCAGTTAATTTGTATAAAGCTGTAATTCCAGATTTGATACAGTTCAATAGCTAGGTAAATTGAATTACATTAGTCTCACACTGAAATAATCACCAATTTTCCTTTAAAAGATAAGATACAAAGACGTTCTGTGCAGTATCTAAGGATTTTAAAAATTTAGGTAACAAAATTCGATGCAGGGAAAAATGACATGAAAGACCAAAACGAGTAATAAGTAGTCTCGCTTTTCCCGACAGATTATAAAATATGTAAATAAAAAGTATTAAGATAAAGGAATTGTAATGCAAATTAGTGGGTTGGGTGGCGGGGGTAAGCCAACATTGTCCAGATGGGGTTTGAGGAGAAAGAATGCGGTGGTGGCGCTGCTGCTTCTTGCTTCTGTTGCCCAAAACCTCCGCTGCTGCTGCTCAGAAACATATTATATACATAGGCGGGCAGGGAGCAAGGATAAGGGAGAAAGAAAAAAACTGAAGCCCGTTGGGATAGTATACTGAAATAGAAGCATAATGGCTGTCTCTAACATGTTTAGAACATGAGGACCATTCATAATATTTCTAGCATCAAGGGCAGTGTTGATCAAGTACCTTTGGTGGTAGTATTATGGCTTTTTATTTATTTAGTGTAAACAGCCAGCCATGATGCTAACATTTGCCAAAAAAAAAAGGCCACTGAAATACAACTTTCACAGAAATATTGACAAATCTACATACCAGACTTAATGAATCTTTGTCTTGCCTGAATACATACCTGCTTTGGGGGCTTTCCTTGCATATATTTTTATATGTTTCTCAAATATGTTGAAATGGGAAGTGTCACAGTTAGGACTGAGGAACGACGGGACAGTACGAAAGAATGACATAGTGGAATGGGAAGATGAAAGAAGAAAGTAGTAATGGTAGAATTACCGACAAAATGTTAGGTAAATAGACACAGATGCAACTACTGTGACATTTTATTGTGGCAACATTTCGCTCTCCAGGAACTTTCTCAAGCCGTTACAAACCATACATGCACAATAAAATATCACATTAGTTGCATCTGTGTCCATTTACCTGACAGTAAGAAAGTAACACAGTGAATACGAGATGTTTTCCTGGAGGGGAAAAGTGTGGCATCATGAGTACAAATATTTGTTCCTGTTATCCTCGTCACAACGGGCACAATTAAAAATAACTTATGTATTAGCGGGAGATGAGTAAAACGAACATGAGTTATCACTCGGGATATGCTGCTGCCTGGAAGAGAAGGAAATGTCTTCAAGGAGAGAGTGAGGGAGGGAGGGAGGGGACGTATTCCAAACGGTACTGGAAGAAAAGGAATGCGAGAAAATGTCTTCAGGGACAGGGAGGGTATTCCAAAAGGAACTGTAGAGAAGGGATGGGAAGAAATATCTTCATAGAAAATAAGGGTGCATTCCAGAAAGTACCGTAAAAGAAGGGAGAGGAAAGTGACTTGGGAATAAGGAGGAGAATATTCTAGACGGTACTGGAAGAAAAGGGAGAGTAGGAAGTGTCTTTAGGAATATGGAGGGAAGGATCCAGACTGTGCTGGAAGAAAAAGGAGGGAAGTGTCTTCAAGAGGAGAGGGTGCTGGGAGAAGAGAGAAATTGTATTCGGGGACAGAGAAGTGGTCATCCAGACAGACAATACTATAAGATAAGGGAGGATTTGAAGTATCTTTTGGGACAGAGAGGGAGTTTAAGGCAGTACTGGAAGAGAAAGATGAGACAGTAGCTTAAAAGACAGGAAGGGAGTAATCTAAACGGCACTGGGAGAGAAAGGAAGAAAATGTCTGGGACTGGGAGGGGTTATTCCAGATGATGCTAGAAGAGGAGAGCCTGGGGAATGTCTTTAAGGACAGGGGCTGGATCCTCCAAAGGTTGCTACTATGAGTCGCAATTAGAGTTCAAACCATTGCCATGTCTCTGAAAGAGGATGGAGGGGGGGGGGGTCACTCAAACAGTTTTAGCAACTGGGTTCTGCTAGTGGGTGTAGAAGATAAGTCATTTTCAGTACAGGAAGATCACACTGGGGGCGGCGTGCATGGTGTGGGAGGGTATCGGGGACAAAGAGCACCTCATATAGCCTTTGGGGTGAACTAGTACCTCTCAAAAGCTTAATACAAAAACTACAGTTCCATACGAACTCAAGAATATACGTGGAGACTCGCAGAGAATTCTCAGTACAGCTGTTGATTCTGATCTGCTCCAGGGCGTAGCAGTCACGTTAAAACAGGGGACTTTGTCATCACTGGGTGGGAGGGGCAGAGAATTGGAGGGTCAGAAACATTATCACTGGAGGGAAGGGATGATATTGGGGGGAGGGGGGTCAGAAATATAGTAATTACTTATGAAGGGAAAGAGAATGGGTGGAAGGATTAGAAATATAGTTATCACTGGTGGGAAAGGGAAGAGATTAGAGGGGTGCAGCTGTTGTTTTAATTTGTCCACGATTACAGCACTCACGATACATCAAGTGCCTCAAAATATAAAACTGCTGCAAATCAATGTTATGAATCTATAATTTTCTATATAATGTGTCATAACTTAAATTTTTATAATTTGCAAAGTTTACTTTATATCACAGTAAGATATTGCATCATAAAATAAATCGGTGGTAGAAAACTTACATCGAAGATCTCGAAGCCGGCAATGTCGAGGACACCGATGAACATAACTCGCTTCTGCCCGGTCTCTAGGGTGACGTTACATTTTTTCACCAACCACTTGAAGGTGCGATCGTAGATGCCCTTAGCAAGAGCGCCCACCGAGTAGTTCACCTGATCCTTGTTCCTGCCCTGGGTCACGAACTCGTTACCGACCTTGATCTTGGGTTTGGTCAGGTTCTTGTACAGATCAGCACCGTCCACGCCCATTAACTTGCCAACGAGATCACCTTCCTGCAGGAGAGGAAAGAGTGGCTCTCACTATTGTGTATTATTCCTACTCTAGGAATTGCACTACACTCTTGTGCTGAACACTGCTCACCACACCAAGTGTAAAAAGTTGAGAAAGATAGAAGGAGAAAGGAATACTTTTTAACAAAATCATTTAAACCTGCATTTTGTTGCAGCCCTATCTAGTATTTAAATAGTTACAATCTGGGAACAAAAGCTAGATGTTTCCAAGTCATATTCTGTCACGCAAAATGAGTTTCATAAATGAAGTAATGAACTCAGGAAGACTTCGGTAGGACATGAAGACAGTGGATAGGAAGTTTAATAGGGAGATAGCTCTCGCACCAAGAGTGAGAACTGAATAATAAAAAAAGGCACAATACCGTGACTGGAACGATACACAAATAACCCGCACATAGAAGAGAGAAGCTTACGACGACGTTTCGGTCCGACTTGGACCATTTACAAAGTAAGCTTCTCTCTTCTATGTGCGGGTTATTTGTGTATAGTGATAATTGGACCGAATTCAACATTTTCTGGTTGTTCTCGGCAACCTCGATGCCAGAAATATTGCGATGTTTTTTTAATTTGTAGTTAGACATAGTTTTTTATATATTTTTTTAATTTGTGGTTAAACATAAGTTTACGTAATCTAACCTAACAACTTAAAGAAAACAGCATTTATAGTTTACATGAAGCTTTAAGGAAACTAAATATGTTATGGTCACTACTCGATCCGAGGAAGGTTGAAGATTTAATGGGAATTGGAAGAGGCATTCAGATATCTTATGGAAACTAATATCCAAATTTCAACTCTTTCAGGGGGACCAAAGAGACTAATATCCTAAAACACACAAGCACCTTAAATTTGAAGCCGCTCAGTTGGTGCGTTATTATGTAATCACCATAGAAGGGTTGAAGTTAATCAGATGCGACGACACTCAGGGATTATCGAATGAAAACTAGTATTTCGAAAAAATACATTTTCCAGTAATATTTTGCAGCCAATCAGAAGAAGCATTCTTTAGTTATTGAATAAAAAATGAATAGCACTATTCGATAAAAATAATCAAACTGAGACTCGTGGCGTCCAACAGTAGGACGAGCCACGTGTTCGGGCAACCACGCCAGTGGTGAAAATCTGAAGCGGCTCAGATGAGTCATTCTCCAGTTATGATACGGTTTCCAACGATTCTAAGTTTTTTTTAACTATTTTGCTCATCAACAAACTTGCCAGCACGCAAGCTAAACTTAATAGGTACTATCCTGTCCCTAAGATGCATCAGCCGTTAAATATTGAAGCCGCTCAGACGTAAACTGAAAATTACGCGATTTAACTGGAACAAATATGCCACACTATTTTACACAAAAATGATCAGATCTGCACCAACATATTTAAATTTCATTCTCCACTGTCGTCGAGGTTTTGGCACCTCTTCTGAACGTTAAAGCTACGCCACTGAGGGGTTTTGAAAGTTATCGGAGCCATTCCAGGAAGTTGGAAATGCATTCAACAACTCTGGTTATAGGGCACTTGAACATGCCAATTATACCAAGAATTGGTCCCCGTTACCGTGCCCAAGTGTTGAAAATTTGAAGATGATTGGATGAGGCGTTCTTGAATTACAAACAAAATAGAATCGAAAAGTTGGAAAAATAAGAAGGGAAAAAATCAAGCACCCTCTTAAAGATACCCCTGCGGGGATACCTAAGTAACATAGTGAAATAAAGATACGTGAAGAGAGAGAAAAATGTGCATTATTCACAGGTATAATATAGAGAACACTAAACAAGTGAAGCGCGGGGTCTTACAGCTGTGCCATCAGGTTCAGCCTGCTCCTCGCGACCCCTCTGTTTGAACTTCAGCTCACCGAAGTGCATCACAGAAGCGACGACCTTGTACACGTTTTCCTTTTCTTCCTTGGAGAAGCCGAGCACATCGAAGGCATCCTGGAAGACGGGCATTTGTGGTTTTAGAAAGGGTATTTTGTTTGCCAATAAAAATGTCACTTAGGTGGTGGTATTTTACCAGGTGACACCTAAAATTATATATGTTTGGTATGCCTGCAGCCATAGCTCATGTGACATATTAATGACATGTCTTATATCAAAATTTACTGAATAATCATTTACTTTCAATATGTAATATTATCAGTAAACTTTTCTAAACAGACTAAATTTGTATTTTGCGGATGTAAAAATAAAATTTCCCATAATAACTCTTCAGTTGTAGCACTACAATTATGTTTTCACATTCACTTAATATGTGGTAACCTGAGCGGTATAGCCATCATGATACGGTAATGATAACCTGAATGGTAACACTATAGTTATAGTAAATGATACAGTAACAAGAAACAAAAGTGCACTTGCCTGATTGAAGCAGTTGGTAATTAGAAAGGTGATTGGTAACATGCTCAGCCGTCTTGGTGAAGACGAAACCATAATGGAATTAGTAGCAACTAGTTTTACAACATGCATGTATCCCAGTTACAATGGAGAAGAGGAAACAATACAGTGGTTACATTTGAAATACCAAGCGATCTCACCGGTCAGGATGGTAATAGTAGATAAGACTATGACATTTACTCTTACGTAGGCGATTGTGATGACAAAAAAAATGTATGGTGGATCAGATACTATGGAAAGCATTAAGTAATTATTTCTTTACAACTTAAAAATAAAGTAAAATTAAGGGGTTTTCTAGATTTTTTTAGTGTGTCTGGATGACGAGCCTAATGCTTTTTATTGTTTAGGAAGGATTTGAGACCCCGAGGGCCATGTAAGGCTTTCTGGAAGGAATTAGGAAGAAACATACACACACACACACACACACACTAAAAGATGAGTCGATACAGGAGTTTAAATGTGTCAGTCATTCGAAAATTAAGAGGCGGACCCAAGAGCCATAGCTTGTCTCTGTAGATTCGAATATGAAACTACAAACACAGACAGTGCTGGGAAGTTATGACAGAGAGGTTAGGTTAGGTAAGGCTAAATTGTCATCGGTTAATAAAAGTTAACTTATTATAAAATACTACGTCTATAATAAATTAAATATTACATAAAAGCGATAAATTTTTTAAATCAAGAACAGAAAATGGAGATCCACCGAGCGCACTCTTAAAACTATTTTCATCGGGGGTCAAGTGAATGGAAAATTTGCAACATTCAGGTTTGATGCAAGAAAGAAGACGATAAGTCCTGTTCCTTGATTTAAGAGGGGGAGGGGAGCGCACAGTATAATACACGGGCAACATATGCTAGAAAGAGCACTTTAAACCTCTGTATCTCAACTTGAAAGTTGCCAGTCACTGACCGGGGCACTACTGCACACTCTTTATTCGGTCCTTGTATAATAACCACAATACTTAGATTTAATTCCCATATCTATATGCACTGTATCTCTATGTGTACTATAATTCACAGAATCCTTATGGGAGAGTACATCCTTGTATCTATAAACATCGGCAGCTCTACAGGACAGAACTCTTCAAGAAGTCTGGAGATCCTCCATATTCCAATACACCCTCCACCAGGGAGGGAGAGATTGACGCTTTGTATTATTTTTTATATATCGTAATTAGATTATAATATGACGTCTAACGTTTATTATTTAAGAGACACTTGCTCAGCACTAGGATATTTTTATTATTGGAACATTTCGCTCATTCGGAGTTTTGTCACTCCAATTTTATTAATTCAAAGATTATTAACTGATTGTAACATTTATGCAAAGACCGGTTCTATTGACCTAACAGTAAGTAGACGAAATATCTAAAGTAAAAAAAAAACAAAAAACAAAGACGAAACTCGTTAACAGAATTCGAGTAGTAGAACATTGAAACAGACTAAAGAATGACACAGCAGAAGCAGAAATTTAGTTCAAGATCAAATCATAAAGAGACGGGTCGAAGATATTTGAACACCAACAGGGAGAATAAGTCACAATTGTAAACAAAGAAAAAAGTCTTTCACAAATAGTGATCGTCTGTTGGAATGCGGCACAGGAGGATGTTTTATGTTCTAGTTCTAACAGAAACGTTTAACATTTATTTAACAAACGAAATACTGAACACCGAATACAACGAGTACAGCTCTGTTTCTGTAACTACACAAATACATAATCTCTCACACACATTTAGCATACATAATATGTACACATTTCAGTTTGGCTTAAAAATATTAAAGCAACGTCAAGCCATGATTGCAAGTGCATCATCAGCAGCAGAGTTTTTAGCAAAAAAAAAAAAAAGCTCATGACGATACAACTGATGCGGCTGATACCAGATAAACCCTGAAGCAAGCACACTGACATGCCTGCCAATTTAGCTGCATTGCATTTTTAAAGAGATGACGAAAGGCAGTTCTGTTATAAACATTGAGCGCTCTGAGAGTTCAGCTGCCATCTTAACTCTCGTTTGTAGCTTCCAGAGCCATGATAAGCACGCTGAACGAACGAAGTTAGTCCCATGTTTTCACCATTTACAGCTGCTCTATCCTGGCAGAGGAAGTACCCGCACTTACATCAGTGAACTGCATGTCCTCTTTGTCATCAATGGAGGCCACAGTGACCTTGCCTTGTGAGACGAAGTGATAGTCGTGGATGTCGTTAGACAAGTAGCACAGTGCTAGAAATAACAAGGAAGTATTTTGGTCAACATTGTGTCTTACCAGTGACCTGAGGGACGAAAGGAGGGGTAGTGCCGAGTGTTGTTTGATGGCACTTTTGAGGATGAGGGGAAGGAAAGGATAGTGCCTGGTGGTGTTGGAAGACACTTTCAAAATAATAGCAAACCAATATGGTAAAATGAGATACTAATAATGAGTATATCTAGCTATTATAATAACAAGTAACGAAAATAAAAGTGAGGGACGGGGGAAGGGATGTTACTGTGAGGAAGACAGTTGAGGAAGATGAGAAAGGGGAGGAAGACATGTTAGGAGGCTTGTTTTATCGTCACTACTAAATGGCGACTGGGGAAAAAAGGGCTTTGGGAAAAAGATTGCGATTTTGTGTTACATATATGTTAATTAAAAATAAATGTTTAGAAGAGGGTAAAGATGAGATGTTCACGGATAGAAACCATGGTTGTACACCTCATAAGTTGAAACAGATGACTGAACTGGTATACTGGAGAAAGCTCCATATCTAGAAATGTATATTATTCCAGACTTTTTATATATATATATATATAGATATATATATAAATATATATTAGTAGATGAGAGGGGTATACTCTTTGTCCTTTTAGAGTCTATGAGGTTTAGGGCATATAATTCTAAGTTAAATCTTTAACTATACATTATCGCATTTTTTCCTGTAGAACAGTCCCTGTAGTTTGTATGGGTACATAGCTGTTAGCAACATAACACAGAAATAGACTACGAAATGATTTATCTATATTCTTAAACGAAACTAAAAAGGAAATAAACGTGTGGTTGCAGGCAATAAAGACTGGATCTACGAGGGTTTGTGGGACCGATTTTTGGGTCCTTCTTACAACTGATGCTACTCTAGGCCTCGCGTACGGGCACTTACATCCGTGAACTGCATTTCCTCAGCATCATCAATTGAGGCAACAGTAACTTTGCCTTGACTCACAAAGTGGTAGTCATGGATACTGTCGGAGAGGTAGCAGAGAGCTGTAAGGGACGAAGACACCGTTATTGAAGAGAGAGAGAGAGAGAGAGAGAGCAGGAATTGGAGAGGAGTTGGGCATGCACCCAGAGGAACCTCTACGAAGATCCTTGTTGTCTAAGGTTAATAGTCTTTAGAGAGCATGAGCATCGGCTTATGATTCATAAGCCTTCCTGCTCTTTGTCCCAACAAAACCAAATTACATCTCATCTTAGATCTTAAATATACCTCTCCAGGCTGGGACAATGTATCGCCTTGGATAAAAAAAAGAGTGTTCTTCACCTTAACTAATTTACTCATGCATAAACTCGATGAAGATGGGCAGAATTCTTTAACTGAAGAAAATGCCCCTAGTTGTATCTGTATACGAAGGAGAGAGTTCACTGAAGATGGTAAATTTTAGGTCTGCATATAACCTACCATTAAACATAAATTATGTTTTGAAGAGTTTGATACCAACTCGCTTCTTACTGAAAGTCCGTTCTCTCTATGCAATTCTATATCTCACTAAAACATTTCACAATATAGACTTAACCTGTAACAGAATACACTTAACCTATAAAGTATTTTTATATAAATGGGATACCCCTAAAGCTAACATTTTGTGGTGGTGAGTACTTATGATATGGTGCGAGGGGAAAGAAGGAAGCCTCTCCTGCTGAGCGATGTTTTGGGCTGAAGACAGGATACCCAGCAGAGACCCCAATATACTCTCATATTGCTGTTGGAGTGTGAGCAAAGTAACATTTATGAAGGGATTCAGGGAAACCGGCAGGCCGGACTTGAGTTCTGGAGATGGGAAGTACAGTGCCTGCACTCTGAAGGAGGGGTGTTTAATGTTGCAGTTTAAAAACTGTAGTGTAAAGCACCCTTCTGGCAAGACAGTGATGGAGTGAATGATGGTGAAAGTTTTTCTTTTTCGGGCCACCCTGCCTTGGTGGGAATCGGCCGGTGTGATAATAAAAAAAAAAAAAATAATTACTACGATATAGCTCATTATAAGTTCTTATATTTGTCTGGATAGTTAGTTTTAATGACAATGTGAATACACTGAATCTACAATAGTCTTAAAAAATGAAAGGTAATTTTAAAATACATGGACTAGAGAGCTGGGTAATGGACAATATATTTTGCAGGTATTTGGTGTGAGGATGAACTAAATTATTGAGAACCACATACCTTTCATGGTTTTGACCTGGTCAGACATAATCTGGTAGAACATGTGGTATGATCGCTCAAGGGGTTGTTGGGAGATGACGCGGGCCTTCTCCAGCAAGTAGGTCTCGATATCAGCACCGGACAGCTTGCCAGATGGGTTGAAGTGGATTCGGATGAACTTACCCTGTGAAAGATGTAAATACGTGGTTACCTAGGCGGGAAAACCTGAACGTTTGTTTTAAAAGGAAGAGGTTTTAACAGGGATCAAAGAGCTTTTAAGAGATCTGGAGATTAGTGCTGTATAGCCTCAAAAAATGAACTTAAAAATGACTAATACACTTAATTGATTAATACACTTAAATAAATCTTAAATATAGTTAGCTTATGAATGTTATGGTGATGAAGAGACGAAATACTCACAAAGCGGGAGGAGTTGTCATTACGGACAGTCTTGGCGTTACCGAATGCCTCCAGTACTGGGTTGGTCTGAACGATCTGATCTTCCAGGTTCTGTCAGGGAGTAGTGATAACTGCGTCAGTTCCTACGTCGCTCTCATTATTAGCGGCAATTTGTAAACAATTCCAAAATGATAATAGGGAGAAGCTCTGTAGATTTGTATAAGTATTTGAGTATCAATAATATTTACAATATATGGTTTAAGGAGGGACCCAAAAAATTAGCCTATTAAAAAATATAGACCTTATTACATCATATCAATCTTATAAAGAGATGGTAAACACCTTGAAGCTGTTTATTTATATTTTGATGCTTAACTGTTAATTTTATAGCATAAGGTTGTGGTTAGGAGACAGTGATTATATATATATATATATATATATATATATATATATATATATATATATATATATATATATATATATATATATATATATTTATTAGTGAGAGTTAGGAGCAGGCATTCGTGGATAGTGTCACTACTGGTGCTCAGGTATGAGGGTAGTGTCACTGTTGGCACTCATGTATGAGGATTGTATCATTGCTGGTATCAGGGGTGAGGGTAGTATCTCTGCTGTTACTCAGGGGTGAGGGTAGTATCTCTGCTGGTACTCAGGGGTGAGGGGTAGTATCACTGCTGGTACTCAGGGGTGAGGGTAGTATCACTGCTGGTACTCAGGGGTGAGGGTAGTATCACTGCTGGTACTCAGGGGTGAGGGTAGTATCACTGTTGGTACTCAGGGGTGAGGGTAGTATCACTGCTGGTACTCAGGGGTGAGGGTTGTATCACTGTTGGTACTCAGGGGTGAGGGGTAGCATCACTGCTGGTACTCAGGGGTGAGGGTAGTATCTCTGCTGGTACTCAGGGGTGGGGGGTAGTATCACTGCTGGTACTCAGGGGTGAGGGTAGTATCACTGCTGGTACTCAAGTTTGCAAGGGTCGCATCATTGCTGGTACTCGGGTGTGAAGGTTGTGTTACTGCTGGTACTCGGGTATGAGGGGTCATATCACTGGTGTTACCCAGAAAACAAACTTATGGGGTTGAAAGCTTATATCTTTTAAGTTATTCTTTTAATGTTCGTGGATAACAAAATTTCACATCACAGTATTAAAGTATAAACACTACAACTTTTGCTGTCCCACAGGAAGTTCAAAGGTATCTTAAATTGTAAGGAAACAATATATTCTCCAGCCTCATGTCATAAAGAGAGGCTTTTGGTCTTCCAATTGTACGGAAGGACTCCTGAGGTCAGGCATGATTGGCCTCTTAGCCATTTACATTACCTGCTTCTTCTCTTCTGGCTTCTTCTTGGTGGAAGCGCCGACATTGGCGAAGTAGGCAATAACCTTCTTTGTGTTCTCAGTCTTGCCAGCACCAGACTCACCACTGCGTTAGAGAACATATTTACATGGTTAGTGAAAGCTTGGGGACGTAAATGAAGCGACAGATACGTTAGGAAATAGGGTGGGATAAGCACGATTGCTGAATCACACAGGAACAACAAATAAGCGACTCACTAAAATATGGAGAGAGGAAAGTTTTGACGAAAAGCCATCAGCGTAAGGCATGAGAAACGTTTGTCAGTATAGCATACAAGATAATGTTTGGAAAAATGTATATAGTACTTGATCAGCAGAAAAGTGCAATACTTGGAGCGTAGCGAGTTTAAATAAAGCCAATTTAGCAAATACTGCAATCATCTGAAGTTAATGGTGGCCTGGCGTTAGTGAATAAGTTAAGACTGCTCCCTCTGTAAGGGAGCCCGAAGTATACAGCAACAACGCGAAAGGAACGGCAGAGCGACAAATGTATAAGAACGGCCTTGAGAAATCCAAACTTACTCCACCACCCGAGAACTTGACTTGATGCTTCTTCTTGTCAAAGGTATCGGTTCTCCTTGCGATGTTGGCAAAATACTGGATAACTTTCTTGGTGTTCTCGGTCTTTCCGGCCCCTGACTCGCCACTAATCAGGAAAGTCAAGGAAGGAGGGAGAGGTAAGAAGAAAACAAGCACTGGTGACGTAGTAGTAGTGCAGGTTGAGGACAAAGGGACACAAGCTCTCGTCCTACAGGAGCTCATCCCCCTCCCTTTGCTCATTTTTCCTCGGCAGATAACTTAGAAGTAGAAGATTTATGGTTTAATATTTAATAAAAGTTGCAGTAGAACGTTGACATCTTGGTGCTAGGTTTTAGAATTAGTTGAATGGCTTAAAATTGTTCTATAAAAACATTTGTAACAATAGAAGAACACTCATTAATTGTCAAGCACTGAGCATTGCAAATTTGTAAAAAAAATGCAAACCATCAGACCTAAAAAATCCCAGGCGTCAGAGAGGAAATGGAATTAGTCTTTCGAATTCCATGAAAAATACAAATACTGGAAAAATGTCCTGCAGATTCCAGAAAGAGAAAGGATTTTTCCGCAGAGGATTTGGATCATATTAGAAGGTTTTGGGCATAAATTGCAATAACATATACTATATATCTCACTCCGATATAACATATATCTCACTCCACTTCAGTATAACATGTCAGTTATTGAATAGTGAATCGTAAAAACACATCAAGACATAGCTGATAATCTTAAGTGAAACTTGAGAGAATGAGTGTGAACATTGTTAAGACGTTTCGTAAGGAAAGGCAACAATCAGACTTACGTGATCAACATGGACTGGTTCTCGCCGTCTGTAAGTAAAGTAACGGATTAGTACCACATCCTTCACTACGCCACTTCATTGTCATACTAAGTCTTTCAACAAAAATTTTACAAACAACTATTTGAAAGGAATAGTTTCGTTAAAGGTATAACGCACATTGCATTTTCGTGTGTTTTGCAAAAGGGTTTAGAATCAAGCAATAAGGATAATTCTTTTCTGCCCCTCAGACTACTAAAAAACCTTACGTAGCCTGTGAGGTTAACTTGCCGTCTATATATGGCATAGTTACGACAATTAAACGCTATTTACTGTCACTGAATTACTATTTAAAGAATAATTTATTATTATTGGGATGGGCTAAACCCATAGGGGTCATACTGCGCCTGGTGAATTTTAGGTAATCAGGAGAGTAATACCAGACTCTCAAATTAAAAGCTCTTCACCCTCATTAAGGTACCTTCCTTAAAGACTAAGGAGTACTGTAAACAACATTAATAATAATACGATTAAAATGTCAATCAATAAATAACAGTATCGGTGAAGTATGAAAAATATAACTGCTCTAAATCTACACTGTGAAAATAGTGAACTGTTATGGCTGTGTTGAAAACAAACAAAACTTGGTGTGATGTGTGAAAAATACTGTTGTCTGTAGCTAATGAATATATACGTTGATAATATAGCAGTGTGACATCTGACATACTTCAATTTTTAGCTAAAATATTAAACTTTTAATCGAAAGTCACGATAATTTAAAACATTTTGGACTACTCCCTGCTTACCACTTAAATTTTAATATTTTGATTAGAAATCAGATCAGCAAAGCATCGAATAATTCTTGTTGCAAGATCTTATGTAATAATAATGATGATAATAATTATTATAATAATACTAGGTTATTTTTACAATATACTGCTTGTTGCTACAAAAAATGGATGACATATTATTGTATATATGGAAAGTCCCTGTTTATGAGAGCATTTAAGATCACATTAAAGAGATGATATCACAATATGTAAAATAATTAGTGAAGAAAAAGAGTGGAATCCCAAGCGATTTCTTGATTTCTCGCCTAATGTGAGAAACCACGAGCGGAGCTTCAGATTTGAGTAGTTAGAAAAAAATAAATTAAGCTTCAACCATATTATGATAACAGTTATATATTATACAAAAACAGGTGATAATTAATGACTGAATAATTATGTCGCTGAGTAGTTGAGGTTAACCAAGCGCTTAGTTTAACATGGCTGCCTAATTATTTAAGTAACAAAGCTCGGTACAGTATATTAGAGTCAGTAGTACTAGTGCGGGGAGATTACCAATAGAAAATAGTGCAGAATATTTACAAATAGTATGTTAAATAGATTTATTATATAGTAGGGTAAACAGTTTAACACCAGTAGTGAGACACACTAACGCTTGTTTTAGCTTAGTTTTGATGTCAGTAAAAATGTTGCAATTTGTCACTACGTCTGTTAAGTCATTCCACATCCTCGGCCCTCTAATCTTCAGTCTGTCACAAAGGGTATCAGTGAGGTACTTTGCGTTCTGTTACAAATTTCTAGGACTTTTCCTCTGATCGGCATCATTACAATGTAGTTTTGAACATGGGGACTGAACAGTAGTTTTTATGAATAACATTTATATTTAGCAGGTTTAGAGATTTTTAAATAAGAGCATCGAGTGTTGCTAATAAGAGTCCATGATTGTTCTGAGAACTGCCTTTTGCTGAGTTATAATTAGTTTAAGGTGAGTTGCCGATGCGGATCCCGAAGCACAGATCCGGTAACTGAAGTAAAGGGTAGATTAGGGAAGAGTCCTGCGGAATATACAATAATCACGAATTTTGGAGAGTATCCATACCGTCTTCGAGCCTTTAGTTGATGTGTTGAGTATGGGCATTAAATTTCAGTATGTTTACCATTGGATCGAGTAGTTTCCCCTTCTTTATGAGCTGTTTATCATTAATTTTTAATGTCTAATTGTAGACATGGTTTATTTCCAAATTATATATAGATTTTTTTCAAGTATTGAGGATAAGTTTGTTGGTAATCATCCATGCGCAGACTTAAGATCATTCACGGCTAAGGTGCTTAAGGTTGACATGGGATGTGGACCTGATATTATAAGGGTTGTCTGTGTCATCAGCAAGTATAGGCTTCCTGTGTTGGGTGGCGTTAGGTGGGTCAGTGATGTAAGATGAGGAAAAGAGGGCCCTAAATATTATATTGGGGTCACTCCTAGGTTTACGGGAAAGATATTAGACAAGGTGTCATATATGGCTAAATTTTGTTGTCGCTTATTACGGTAGGACTAGAAATATGTGTAACTGTGTCCTCTAATTCTGTAGGATATTCATATTCTTTAAGTGCTGAACAAACTATTATTGTATCATTAGTACATTTTCCTGTGGTAGTAGGTTGGTAGACAGCACCCACCCAGGGAGGTACTAGCGTCTTGTGGTAGTAGGTTGGTAGACAGCAACCACCCAGGGAGGTACTACCGTCTTGTGGTAGTAGGTTGGTAGACAGCACCCACCCAGGGAGGTACTACCGTCTTGTGGTAGTAGGTTGGTAGACAGCAACACCCAGGGAGGTACTACCGTCTTGTGGTAGTAGGTTGGTAGACAGCACCCACCAGGGAGTACTTCGTCTTGTGGTAGGTAGGTTGGTAGACAGCAACCACCAGGAGGTACTACCGTCTGTGGTAGTAGGCTGGTAGACAGCAACCCACCAGGGTAGGTACTTACCGTCTTGTGGTATTTAGGTTGGTAGAAACAACACCCGGGAGTGTACTACGTCTGTGGTAGTAATACTAGGTGGTGACAGCACCCTAGCCAGGGAGGTATACCGTCTTGACTAGGTAGTAGTTGATAGACAACAACCACCCAGGGAGTTATCCGCTTATTACGGTAGTAGGTGGCTAGACAAAACTACCCAGGGAGGTACTACGTACTTGTGGTGTAGGTTGGTAGGAAGACCCACCCAGGGTACTACGTCTTGTGGTAGTAGGTTGTAGACAAACTAGTCACCATGGAGTACATCCGTCTTGTGGTAGTGGTTGGTAGACAACAACCACCCAGGGAGGTACTACCGTCCTGTGGTAGTAGGTTGGTAGACAGCACCCACCCAGGGAGGTACTACCGTCTTGTGGTAGTAGGTTGATAGACAACAACCACCCAGGGAGGTACTACCGTCTTGTGGTAGTAGGTTGGTAGACAGCAACCACCCAGGGAGGTACTACCGTCTTGTGGTAGTAGGTTGGTAGACAGCAACCACCCAGGGAAGTACTACCGTTCTGTGGTAGTAGGTTGGTAGACAGTAACCACCCAGGGAGGTACTACCGTCTTGTGGTAGTAGGTTGGTAGACAACAACCACCCAGGGAGGTACTACCGTCTTGTGGTAGTAGGTTGGTAGACAACAGCCACCCAGGGAGGTACTACCGTCTTGTGGTAGTAGGTTGGTAGACAGCAACCACCCAGGGAGGTACTACCGTCCTGTGGTAGTAGGTTGGTAGACAGTACCCACCCAGGGAGGTACTACCGTCCTGTGGTAGTAGGTTGGTAGACAGTACCCACCCAGGGAGGTACTACCGTCCTGTGGTAGTAGGTTGGTAGACAGCAACCACCCAAGGAGGTACTACCGTCCTGCCAAATGCGTGTGAAACGGAAATCTGTAGATGTTTAACACAATGGTAGGAAAGCTGGTGTCTTTTTTCTTTGTGTCTCATAAACACGCAAGAAAAGAGGTACGTCTTGCTACTTCTGCTTACACTTAGGCAGACTACATATACATGTACACGTATATGTATACACACCGATCTGAATTTCCTCCTATTTTTCTAAATAGTTCTTGTTCTTTTTATTTTCTTTCAACTCCATGGGGAAGTGGAAAAGAATCTTTCCTCCACAAGCTATGCGTGTCTTAAGAGGCGACTAAAATGCCGGGAGCACTGAGCTAGTAACCCCTTCTCTTATATAAATTATTAAATATAAGAAGGCTGTTGGAGTGTAAGCAAGGTAACATTTATGAAGAGATTCAGGGAAACCGGCAAGCCGGACTTAGAGTCCTTGAAGTGGGAGGTACAGCGCCTGCACTCTGAAGGAGGGGTGTTGATATTACAGTTTTATAACTGTAATATAGGCGCACCTCTGGCAAGACAGTGATGGAGTAAATGATGATGAAAGCGTTTCTTCTTTTTCGGGTCACCCTGCCTTGGTGGGAAACAGCCGATGTGTTAATAAAAAAATAATAGTACTTTCATATTTTTAATCTAAATTGACAAGGAGTAAGTATATTTTGCTTGGTTAAGTATAGGTACCGTTGTTTGTGGATTACTTTCTCGAATGTTTTAGATAGTACTGGTAAATTAAAGATTGATCGGTTGAATCACCACCTTTGTGGATGTGTGTTATCCTGGTCCTCTTGAGAACCAGGAGATTAAATTGATATCTAGGTTATTTTGTAAAAATTTTAGTAAATGACAATTAATGTCCAAGAGGAAAAATATTATATTTGTAATAAAAATAGGAACGTTTCCTTGACCGAGAATGTTTGGTAATCGGGCTGCCAAAGACCAAGAAACAAGTCCAGATACTTATAATAGTGAAAGTAGAAATGGAGATACATTTCATCCTGGGTCAAATACGTTGTATCCTGCGTCTGATACATTTTATACGGCGTCAGGCCGATTTTTTCTTAAAACTGTCTTTAGACTAAGATTTGTAATGTTAAATGACCATTTAGATTATGTATTTTGAGTCTCCTGAAGGTTTGCCCCCTTCCCCAAGGAAAGCAGTTAAGTAAACTTTGGAATTTGTTAGATATGTTAACAAATTAAGCGTTTTTGCTAGGTTAGTTTTGGTGTAAAATAAAAAGTAGCATTTCAAAATAATTGTTTCACTAGGCTCATTTTTCCTGATTAGGAAGCAAATCTTTAGGGATTCGGGTATTTTATTCTTGTAGCCGGCTGGAATACTCTGGTCAGAGCTCAGAGTCTTTACCCAAAAGCAGCAATTTATGAGTTTTATTAGGGTTCTATATAACCAGGTTTTAGAAATTGCCAGCACTGATATAAATTCATGCAGGGATTTTTTGTTCTATCACGTCATGAGAAAATTTACCATTTCTCCTCGCGACTGGAAGTGTGGATTTCAAGTTTATATTGCCAGGCAGAATATGGAAAGTAACCTAGTTGTTTCGGGTCATTATATGCTTCACGAAAAGTCCACAAATCCCCATTGAATACAAGTAACCAAAATGAATCGGATATATCGTTGATTGCAATAATCCCTAGCCTTTATCGACACTGAATGATGGTCTCGACTGATAGATTACTGGATCCAGAAAGCAGTGTGCTGGATCAACACTACCTGTAGTTAGAAACTCTCCAAGTGGTGCCTTTATGCAGGTAAATGGCTCTTAATTCAAGGAAGTGGAGCTACCCATTCCTTCCTTGCATCGAATCTAATCGCATCCCATTCTTCAGGCGCTGTATATATAATATACATTATTTGAAAAATTATTTAGGCTGGAATTTAGTCTTTAGTCTTATGTTTACTCAGGGTGAGTAGCGCTGTCCAATAAATTCGTTCTTTGAGGCAAGATCTTAAACGTATGCAAATATTTAGTTTTGCTAAAATAATGAGTTTCAGATTGGCAGTGTGAATATAATTATGACGAGAGCGCCCTAGGTTCACTGCTTGTCTATATATGGTATGGAGTTGAGCGGGTCGCTCATGCCAGAGTGGAGGGGTGGCGAGGCCTGTATGGGAGTGCCAGGGGGTGCCTGTGAGGGTGGGAGGCAGTACCAGTGGCAGGTCGGGGGTACCAGGGTAAGGGAAAGTCTGTGGTGCCAATAGAGGGTTTGGGGTTCCAGATGTGGGAGAGTGCCGGGGGTGCCAGGGCGAGAAGGCTTTGTGGTGTAAGTGATGAGGGTGTCGAGGATGTTATAATGGCAAGGGTCGAGGGAGCCAGTGATGTGAGGAGTCGAAGGTGCCAGTGGGGATCGAGGAGTATGATGGAGGGTGAGTTCAATGAGTGGATCATGGTGCAGGTGTATGATGCGAGGGCATGGGGGTGGCGAGGGTTCCAGTGTGGAGGATGCAGGGGTACCAGTGGTGTGTGGGTCAGGTCCAGTGCAGTGTCGAGGATCGAGAAGCAGTGTCTAAGAGGGTCTGTGTCCATGGGGTGGATCGGGTCCAGTGAATGGCCGAGAGTGCCGTGGGGCTGCCAGCAGAAAGTTTTGGCTGTACAATGAGTTTCTCCTACCTACACCGACATTCCTCCCACCCCTCACAATCAGACATTTCCTCCCACCTGCACCAACAGACATTCCTTTGCACCTCACCAGACATTTCTTCTCGCCGTCACACCAGGACATTTCCTCCAGACCATCCAATCGGACATTTCCTCCACCCCACCGACATTTCCTCCCACACCTAAGTCAGACATTTCCTCCTCACCACCAGACATTTCTGCTCACCCTCACACCAGACATTCTCTCGCCTCACCACCAGACATTTCCTCTCTCGCCCCTCACCACCAGACATTTCCTACATCTTACCTCACCACTAGACATTTCCTCTCTACCCATCACCACCAGACATTTCCTCCCTCACCCCACAACCAGACATTTCCTCCCCACCCTCACCACAGACATTTCCTCTGCACCCTCACCACAGACATTTCATCCTCACCCTCACCACCAGACATTTCCTCTCTCGCCCCTCACCACCAGACATTTCCTCTCCACCCCTCACCACCAGACATTTCCTCTCACTCCCTCACCACCAGACATTTCCTCCTCACCCTCACCACCAGACATTTCCTCTCCCCCCTCACCACCAGACATTTCCTTTCTCATCCCTCACCACCAGACATTTCCTCCTTCACCCCACACAGACATTTCCTCTCTCACTCCTCTCACCACCAGACATTTCCTCTCTCACCCTCACCACCAGACATTTCCTCTCTCACCCCTCACCACCAGACATTTCCTCTCTCACCCTCACCACCAGACATTTCCTCCTTCACCCCACAAAACCAGACATTTCCTCCCCACCCTTCACCACCAGACATTTCCTTTCTCACCCTCACCACCAGACATTTCCTCCTTCACCCCACAAACCAGACATTTCTCCCCACCCTCACCACCAGACATTTCTCTCACCCCTCAGCCACCAGACATTTCCTCTCTCACCCTCACACCAGACATTTCCTCTCTCACCCTCACCACCAGACATTTCCTCCTTCACCCCACAACCAGACATTTCCTCCCACTCCTCACACCAGACATTTCCTTTCTCACCCTCACCACCAGACATTTCCTCCTCACCCTCACCAACCAGACATTTCCTCTCTCACCCTCACCACCAGACATTTCCTCCTCACCCCCACCACCAGACATTTCCTCTCTCACCCCTCACCACCAGACATTTCCTCTCCACCCTCACCACCAACATTCCTCCTCACCCACCAGACATTTCCTCCCCACCCTTCACCACAGACATTTCCTCTCTCACCCTCACCACCGACATTTCCTCCCTCACCCTCACCACCAGACATTTCCTCTCTCACCCTCACCACCAGACATTTCCTCGCTCTCACCCCTCACCACCAGACATTTCCTCTCCCCTCACACCAGACATTTCCTCCTCACCCTCACACCAGACATTTCCTCCTCACCCCTCACCACCAGACATTTCCTCTCTACCCCTCACCACCAGACATTTCCTCTCAACCCCTCACCACCAGACATTTCCTCTCTCACCCCTCACCACCAGACATTTCCTCTCTCACCCCTCACCACCAGACATTTCCTCTCTCACCCCTCACCACCAGACATTTCCTCCCTCACCCTTCACCACCAGACATTTCCTCTCTCACCCCTCACCACCAGACATTTCCTCCCTCACCCTTCACCACCAGACATTTCCTCTCTCACCCCTCACCACCAGACATTTCCTCTCTCACCCCTCACCACCAGACATTTCCTCTCCCCCTCACCACCAGACATTTCCTCTCTCACCCTCACCACCAGACATTTCCTCTCTCACCCCTCACCACCAGACATTTCCTCCCTCACCTCACCACCAGACATTTCCTCTCTCACCCCTCACCACCAGACATTTCCTCTCACTCCCACCGACATTTCCTCCACCTCACACAGACATTTCACTTCACACCCTCACCACCAGACATTTCCTTACACCTCACCACACAGACATTTCCTCCCTCACCCTTCACCACCAGACATTTCCCTCACTCTCACACACATTCCTCTCACCTCACCACCAGACATTTCACTTCACACCCCTCCCACCAGACATTTCCTCTCACCCCTCACCACCAGACATTTCCTCTCTCACCCCTCACCACTAGACATTTCCTCTCTCACCCCTCACCACCAGACATTTCCTCCTCACCCTCACCACAGACATTTCCTCTCTCACCCTCACCACCAGACATTTCTCTCCCCCTCACCACCAGACATTTCCTCTCTCACCCTCACCACTAGACATTTCCTCTCTCACCCCTCACCACCAGACATTTCCTCTCTCACCCCTCACCACCAGACATTTCCTCTCTCACCCCTCACCACAGACATTTCCTCTCTCACCCTTCACCACCAGACATTTTCCTCTCTCACCCTCACCACCAGACATTTCCTCTCTCACCCTCACCACCAGACATTTCCTTCCTCACCCACTCACCACCAGACATTTCCTCTCTCACCCTCACACCAGACATTTCCTCCTCACCCCTCACCACCAGACATTTCCTTCACCCCTCACCACCAGACATTTCCTCTCCACCCCTCACCACCAGACATTTCCTCCTCACCCCTCACCACCAGACATTTCCTTCTCTCACCCTCACCACCAGACATTTCCTCTTCACCCTCACCACCAGACATTTCCTCCTCACCCTCACCACCAGACATTTCCTCACCCACCCCTCACCACGAGACATTTCCTTTTTCAGCCCTCACCACCAGACATTTCCCTTTCAGCCCTCACCACCAGACATTTCCTCTTCACCGCTCACCACCAGACATTTCCTCTCTCACCCTCACCACTAGACATTTCCTCCTTCACCGCCCTCACCACCACACATTTCCTCTCTCAGCCCTCACCACCAGACATTTCCTCTCTCACCCCTCACCACCAGACATTTCCTCCCCACCCCTCACCACCAGACGTTTCCTCCTTCCCCACCCCCCTTACCAACGTCTCACTAATGGAAACAATATTGCATTTATCATATTAAAATTTCTAGATCTTTAAAATAGACCACCTTTAGTTTCAGGTAAATGCGCTAGTCTTGTACATATCAAAGAAATATTCTTGGAAATAAGCTGAGGTAGGATAACAGCTCTTAGCTTGTAAAACTGACGAGTTAAAAAATATATATATAAAATAAAAGAATGTCTATAGGCATGGCAGGAATTTATTAACGTGTGTGTCTTATTGTTGTTTAATTGTAAAGTGAAAATAAGGAGAAACTTACTCTGCAACATATCCATGTAGGCGCCGTCAGCAATGGAGAAAATGTGTGGTGGCACCTCATTCCTCCTCTTGCCCTGGTAGATCTTGACCACGCGGTTGGTGTAGATGGGGTACCGTTTGTAGGGGTTGATGGCTACGCAGAAGAGGCCAGAGTAGGTGTAGATAAGCTTGGTGACGTAGCGACACTTGAGGTTGTATAAGACGAGGCATCGTTGAGGTAGGTCAAGTTGGACATGTCCTCGCACTTTTCGAACTTGGGAGGGTTGACCTGGTTGACGAGGTCCTTCTTGAAGTTCTTGGTTTCTCCTCCGGGTAAGTTGACAGTAACGAGGTCACCCTTAGTGCCTTGAATTTCGCCGAGGACGAAGCCATCCTTCTCACATGGTACCCAGCAAGCCTTCTTGGCATCGTAAGGTTTGGTCTGATCGATGCGCTTCTGCTCTAGTGAGACGTACAAGTACTCAGTGGGGTCGGGGTCGGGTCCAGTACTCTTCAAGACGACGTGGCCAGGCATGGTGAAAGTTGGTGTTTGAAGGCAGTCGAAGTTAGGTCAGACACACAGTACGGCAGAACAGCCCTGGAACCTTCCTGTAACAAAACACAGGACGTGAGCAAGAACCCTCATAACTAGTGTCCATAATTCAAGCTTTATCACACAATTCAATCATGAAATAATTTTACTCGAGAACGAAATTCAAAGTGATAATTTGTCTTGATTAAAACGCAGTGTGAAAATGTTTATATGTATATGCGACGACGGTGCCTAGAACTCTGCATAAGAAACTGTCTGATTTAATTATTACAACGCCAAGTTGTTGAGCATCATCCCCATGACCCTGTAATAAACAACGACTTTATTTCTAAAAGTTGAACTTTGAAGTTTTCTAATGCCTAAAGGCCGATGTGAAAAATTCGCACATATCAACAGACCTCATATACATTGCTCGTAGCTTATGAAGATTGTTATATTATGACAACCACTATAATACTAAATTTATACTTAAGTACTGTAAATCAAATTCGCAATTTAAAACACAAATACAAAGTTACGCGATACTTTATGTCTTAAAAATAAAGTAATTAAGTCACTTAAAAATGTAAATCTCCCGTTCGAAAAATAGCTCGTCGATGAATAAAACAATGATCAATGAATAAATAAATGACAGCAGTTAATAAATGAGGTAGAAATCTATGAGGAAAACGATGATCAATGCAGAAAACGAGTGTAAAATGGCCTTGATACAAGATTCAAAAGAGTACCGCTTAGGGCACACGACACCGCTCCCGAACACCCACTAAAACACGACTGACGAGGGCATGCGGGGCGTGGCACTCATATAGCCAGCTCCAGGAGGGGGCGCTTAGTGAGAACGTGATGGGCGTATGAAGGGTAGAGTTGGTGGTGGGTGGGCCAGCCCACACTTGGCAAAGGCGCCCCTACACCAGCAACGTGACACCTCGCCTGTGCTAAAAATACATTTAGGCAGGTGTTGAATCTTTCGCCCTTTCTGCTGATGATAGAGGGGGATTAGAGGCTTGCTGGATGACTCTACTGTAGTAGAAATGTGGTACAGCCTTACTGGTGTTGGAAGACTGCCACAAGACAGTGGTATAGATTTGCTACAAATACTTTGAAGGGGCTGTAACCGATAACGTCTTGCTTAAATCAGAAGGTTGTGAAAAGATCTAGACTGGCGCCTACACTTATGTTTTATATAGTATGTAATAAATGCTTTGTTGCAAAGTAACGGTATCAGTAAAAAAATATTTTCAGTGGAACGATACACGTTAGGTGTGATTTTTGAAGTGCATTACATTTTTATTGGTAAAGTTCTAATGAAAAGGCGATATTATCCACAGCATTCCAGGATTTATCCCTGCATTCCTCCTGAGTACCTACTTCGAATTTTAGTTGGTTCCACACTTCCTAACGTACCTGTGATTCATCCACGTGTTAACTGCTTTTGTCCTCCGTTTCTGATCTTTCCATGTCAGTCCGAATTCGTAAACCTTGACAAACCCCTACGTACTTTATATAACGTGATCGTGCCTCCTCTGACCCTCGGTTCTTTCAGTGATGCAGGTTTAAGCTCCTATAGCCTATCCTCGCAACTCTTGTCTTTTTGCTCCGGGACCAGACTTGTGTCAGTTCTTTGAAATTTATCGAGCTTCTTTATATATAGTTAAGTGCAGACTCCACGTGTGCAATAACCTATTTGTAGTTCCAGAGGTAGAGCTTCACTTTTGGTGTCCTGGTATTAGTTTATCATGATATTTTTTAAACTTTGAATTGGTTCTAGATCACAACCTTTCCCTGGAGCTTGTGCGATTAATCACCAACTTGATAAACCTAATTTTAAGAGGGGTGGACCGGTAAGCCAGCGGAAGGCCTCGGTCACATGACCAAAACCTCCAGCGGCGGATCATCATATGACTAAGACCCGCATCAGGAAACGCTTATCCTGTTTCCTGACAAACCTTACCTAACCAAACGAACTCTATGTAAAGGAATATGTTTTCTGCAATCTCCTTTACCCCTCTTCTGCTAAAATTGACTTCTTGTCCTGTCAGTTACTAATTCAGCGATTTTCCGCGTGTTCCCTCGTAGTATCTCATGAATTAAAAAGAGGTTATCTTTCAGCTCTTGTTTCCAACATGGCAAATTTAACGTCTTCAGTTTATTCAGAGCTCAGATTTCTAGATTCTGGAATTAACTTTGGAGCATATCTCTCAACTTCTATTTTAATTTTATAATCCATTAACTGTAGGTTCTGTACTGCAGCTACATATTCCAATTACGATCTAATGGTCTAACATACGTTGTAAACACTTTATATAACAACTCCAGTCATATATACAACATACTCAAAGTTTTATATAACAACTCCAGTCATATATACAACATACTCAAAGTTTTATATAACAACTCCAGTCATATATACAACATACTCAAAGCTTTACATAATATCTCCAGTTATATGTAATAGTGTACTCGAAGCCTATCTTAAAATTTGCTACTGTTACCTGACTATGCAGATGTGTGTTTGTCTCAGTGTGATCCAGAAGAGGTATTGTTATTTTCTATAGCCCAATCCCTTATACCTCGTTACACGCAAGAAACATAGCTGTATTTCAAAACCCTTAAGTCGTAGAAAAGCTTTAAGATTAATTCTTCAAAAGACCTTGGAGCTATCATTCACCCCTCCCAGAAGTCCCTGGAGCTGGAAGTCAGTACCTTTAAAAATTTAAGACCTTAGGATCAACACCTTCATGAGTTGCAAGAGCTGGAGATCAATAGCTGCGAAAGGTCCAAGAGCTTTAGCCGAGCACTCAAGAAGCCTAGTACATGTAGATTAACATAATGAGGCCTAGGAACTGTAGATGAACATGATCAAGAGGCACAGGAACTATAATGACCCACCCAGCCAAGCGCTTTAAAAACATAATAAGCAGGGCGAGACTGTGTGAAGTTTTATACATATTTTTATGGCAACATTGCCTGAATGTCAATTAGCAAATTGACATTAGCAAAGCCTGCCGAATTTTTATTTACGTAAAATACACTAGGACTGAAGTTTAAAACCAGTATAAAGAAGCATTCTCTATTACTGAAAACCAGCATCCCAGTTTGTTTAATAAAATTGCCAAATTGCCATTACATAGTCCAGAACAAATCCAAACCTACCACTAAGTATGATAAACTATTGTTTAAAGTTTGAAGCCGATCAGATTATGAATTATCACGTTATTTTATGAGAACCAATCTCATTTTTTAAAATGACGAATTTGGACTTATAGCTCAATATTAATGTAAGCCTTTCTTTAAACATAATATGCCAGTCTTGAAAGTTTGAAGCTGATCAGAAGAGGCATTCTCCGGTTATGACATAGCAACCAAGAAGTCTGCATGTAAAAAAAATTATGATAAATTGAAAACCTACTCGGGTTAGAGACTGTATTGAATCTTTTTTCCGGTAAGAAGCATCAGAGTTAAAAGTTTAAAATCATACCAATAGACATTTTCAAGGTATCTCCTAGAAGACAAAATAAGCCTAATTTTCACATACATTTTTTCACATCAGCAACAGACCCAGAGGTTGTAATGGCATTTTTGTTTTTGTAAAAATAGTAGTTGGGGGTCACATATGTTGGCCTCTGTAATCTTTCCATGTCCACGTTGTGGCTGATTAGAAAGTGCCTCACTGAAATTAATATGATCTTGTGGCTAGAGCAGTGGCTTTGCATTTTGAGTTTCCCCAGTTCGAATCTTCGGAAAAAAATCTTTGAATTATTACAAGCGTTTATTACATTTTCCCCAGATCATTCAGGGGGCAAGAGCTGAACTTTGTGACAGGTTGTGAGAGAAGATATATTTAATGGCTCAGTGGATAGTCATACTGGGGTCTCGGTATTTAGCTCATTTCTTAGTACAAGTCTTAGGTGAAATTTACAATTTTCTTAAGCTAGAGCTGAATACAAAAGGTGGGTTTTGATTTTAATTTTGCATAGCGAAAAGTATTTTGTGTTCTTTTCCATTTCACTGTGTTTTTTCCGCGTTTTTTTTTTTTTTTTTTTTTGCCAGGGCTCTGTATGAGTTAAATTTTAGCTGATAGTTTGTATTTCCCTAGTCATGATATTTTTCTTTCTTGAGAAAGTTCTTTGACTTTATCAATCGAGGGAACATATTTTCAGTCTGGTTTAAGTACTGATCCTTGTGGAAGCCCTCCAGTAACATTTCCCATTAAGACATTTTTTCCTCTTATAAATGTTTCTCACGTGTTTTAATAATTTGTTTAATCTTCGTATATTTTGTAGTTTTCAGAGTATGGCTAGTCTTTCATGGGGAGTGTTGTGTAAAACTGGTTCGAACTCAAAATAAATGAACTCTGACCATCCATGTATTTCTAATATAATATGTTTATGTGCAAAATTTTCCCGATTGAAAACGAACTACTTACTACCACATTTCTACTTTACAGGTGTTTTATCCACTTTTCTTAAAATGCTTTTGTTTCGGAAGTTTTGATGATACTTGACAATGAAACATCTATATAGTTTAAATATTTTTAAATGTTGTCATTTTCCATTTGTCTTCCGATTTACCTTTTATCTTAAATTTACAAACATTTGTAAAAGTAAATAGCTCGATTCTTCAGTATGTCCCTTCAAAACCCAGGGTTCTATCTCGTTTGGTCCTGTTAGGACATACATGCAGCACTTAGCATATTTTATTGGAAAACATTACACCCAGTTAGGGCTTTGATAAAGCCCTAATTTGCAATACACGTTTCCTTAATAAAATATTTAAATGTTGCTTGTGTCCTTTTACTCCACATTCTGTTGTCATTGATACAATATAACTGGTACCTGTACTGGTTCTGGTACTTATTATAAGACCAGCGATCACGATGAATTGGTTGTAATCATAACCATTATTTTTAAAGGGGTTGGACCAGTAAGCCAGCAGAAGGCCTTGGTCAGATGACCAAACTTCAGCTGCGGGTCATCATATGACTAAGACCCCACCAGGAAACACTTCTCCGGTTTCCGGACGAACCTTACCTAACTAACCGGGTCGCTATACTCTTCAGTCTCGCCTGGGAGCTTGTAATGATCAAATACGCTGTGCAAATTCAAATCCTCCAACGTCCTCTAAAGTTTGCTAATGACTGATGTCATTAGCAAACTTTAGAGTTTGCTAATGACATCAGTTTGTTGACGTTTTCTTTGGTTATTTTAATGAGCACCATATCCGTTTCCCTTCAAAGGATGTCCGTGAGAGTGGGATCTTGATCCAGTGAAGTGGACCATTCTTTCACTTTGCGTCATAACATGATTTTCTTCCATTCCTCATGTGCTATATGATCCCTATAGGTTTAATGTTTTCTTTCCTCATTATATTAACCCAATTTTCTATTAACGGTTCAAGGTCACTTCTGCAAATACTCTTTGGAAGTCCATGATTAGAATGTCATCCATTTCTTCCTTTGATTCGTCAATTTGTCATCGACTTTACTCTGTATTTTGTCCATTTTTCAGGCTTAAATAGAAAATTGAGACATTTAAATAAGATTTTTTTTTTTTCAAAATTTTCTTCTCCTGCAAAACCTTGTTATTTGGTAAAAAAAAAAAGTCGCTTAGTATTTGCAACTTGAAAAAAACTCATGGATCCTAGTTGGTCATCCTTCCATATAGAGTACCAAATGCAGCCACTGTATCCAAACTATCGCACATATTTTTTATTCGTTTCATATATGTTGTATAAATTTTAGTACTGCACATGCGTATTTAGATTTTAGTTAATAAATGTGGGGAGGCACAGTGGAGCGTAATTGATAGTGTCTAGACAGTGTCAGCCCACCACAACCCTCAGTAGTGATCTGTTATCTGGAAATTGCTACGCTGTACCCTGTTTT